GTTGTGCCATTTGTTTCAGGTCAATGGTTGGCGGCGACGACATGGTACATATCCTAGACAAGGCGTCCGCCACAGCATTGTCAACCCCCGAAATATGTCGAATGTCCGAAGTGAATTGTGAGATATAGTCCAAGTGACGCAATTCGCGCGAAGAATACCTATCTGTAGTAGTGTGGAGGGCGTACGTCAGGGGCTTGTGGTCTGTGAACACAGTGAATTGTCGGCCCTCCACGAAATGGCGAAGGTGCTTGACAGCGGCATAAACGGCGAGAAGTTCTCTACCGAAAGTGCTGCACCTAGATTCACATGCAGTAAGTTTACGAGAAAAGAAAGCAATAGGTGACCAAGCATTGGACACACGCTGTTGTAGGACAGCTCCAATCGCAGTGTTAGAGGCATCGACGGAAATGCTGAGCGGTAGCTGGACGTCCATGTGAACTAACATCGTGGCATCAGCAATAGCCTTCTTGACAGTTACAAAGGCTGTCAAGGCTTCCTCGGAGAACACGATGGACTTACCTTTCCCCTTAAGCATATCAGTCAAGGGGGGGCGCATTGGGGAATAAAGCGACGGTAGTAGCTAACCGTTCCCAGAAAGGTGCGTAGTGCTTTGAGGGATGTGGGTAGAGGAAAGTTTTGCAGTCTCTACCCGTTCAGATAAGGGATAGATCCCATCCTTATCTATCCTGTGTCCCAAAAAATTCAAAGACGGGACCCCCATCTCACAATTTGCTAAGTTGAGTGTGAGGGAGTGTGTTGTAAGCCTTTAGAAGACGGCCTGCAAGTGAAGACGATGTATTGCCTCATCTGGACTAGCTACCAAAATATCATCCAGATAGGCATACGCGCAATCCAATCCGCGCAAAATATCATGAATGATTCGCTGGAATGTTTGTGCGGCGTTGCGGAGACCGAACAGCATTCGAAGGAATTCGGAAAGACCAAAAGGAGTGATCACTGCCGTTTTAGGAATATCGTCTGGATGAACTGGGATCCGATGATAGGCTCTTGTTAAGTCCAGTTTGCTGAATACCGTGGCACCTTTTAGTGACGACGTAAGGTCATGTATATGTGGTACGTGGTAGCGATCTGGCACGGTCTGTGCATTAAGCCTGCGGTATTCGACACAAGGCCTCCAGTCTATCCCGTTATTCTTTGGCACCACATGTAAAGGGGAAGACCACGGGCTGCTGGATGGACGGATTATCCCCATGTCTAACATATGTTCGAATTCGGCCTTCACGGCTTGTAGTTTTTCTGGGGACAATCGCCGTGGCTTTGCGAATACGGGTGGACCAGTTGTCACGATATGATGAGTGACGGTAGAAGTCACACAAGGAAGTTTGGAAACCGGTTTGAACAGGTTGGTAAAGGACTGGAGAACATCAGCGTAAGGGCCGTTAGAGGCAGGGGTTGAATATACTGGACTTAATGAAGGTGTGCGCGTCACAACACCGGAGATCGAGAGGTTTGTAGCTGAATCGATCAGTTTGTGTTTGCCAGTATCTACCAGTAGCTGATAATGTTGCAAGAGATCCATGCCAATAATACCGGTGGTTACGTCTGCCACTAGGAAAACCCAACGAAATGATCTACGTAAGCCTATATTAAGATCTAGGAACCTTTTACCGTGCGTTGTGATTGGCGAACCGTTTGCGGCACGAAGCTGTAAGGAAAGTGGCTTCTGGCGCTCTTCAGATGTTGGTGGAATCACGCTAACTTCCGCCCCAGTGTCAACCAGGAAGCGTGTCCCAGTGTTACGGTCGGTACCATAGAAGAGGCGACATGGAAGTGGTTCGCCAGCGACGTTAGTCGCCAATACGTGCTGACTTACTGGTTTCCCGATTGCTGGACACCGAAGGTGCACGGGCGAGTACACTTTTGGGCCTTGTCACCATAACGCTGGTGATACCAGCACACTCCAGGTTGGGAATTATGAGACCTACGACGCCTGCTGCCAGCTTGTGAAGAAGATCTACCACGAGTCGAGCTGGTGCGGCTATTTGAGCGACCTCTAGGTCTCATATCGAGTCTTAACTTACATATCTCCTCATATAGCTTAGTTATGTGGGCCACCACATCTAAGTTTGATGACCCCTCGGCAGAGGAGTTCTTAGTCTGCGTGGGACTAGCGGTTACGGCAGCCGAAATGTTCGTGTTGGATGTAGTAGTCTCTACTACTCTATCGGCTGCCTCAGCTAGTTCGGATAAGGAGGAATGGTTGATTGGAGCTAAAATGGTCTGAATCGTCTGTGGCAATCGTTGTAACCACAGGTGTTATAAGAAGGCGTCATCTACAGTGTTAAGCTTAGCCGACTTTGGTATCGAACAAATTTACTGGATCTAGCATTCCATTGAAATATCATTTCTTTCTTTGCTTTGATAGTATGTAATGTTAGTTATACCGACGGGCTAATAAAATGTTCCTGGGATATTCGTGCTTAATCAAACAGCATAGTGGCGTTTAAAATTGCCACAACTCTAATGACAAACTGACCAATCACAAGCAACACTGTCAGTTGTTTCTCTGGCAAAGTTCTACAATAGAGTCCCAAGGCACGAACGCACAAGTGACCTTGAACCAACTAATCAGAAAAAGGGATGATTTTTGCAAAAAATTTTACGTATTTTTACATAAATAAGCATGAAAAAAATCAAACAGGGTACTTTTCTCTAATATGAGATAAAAAATGTTCCAATTATTAAGAGGAGTTTCAGTTTTTAAATTAAACCAATTTCTATACATATATTCATTCAAATGACTGAAAATAACTTCGTTTTGTGATCCGTTGATAGCTCAGATTCCATTTTTCAGTCTTCCCCAGAAATCTTCGATGGAATTATTATGAGTATGACAGGGTCGACGGAATCATTCGAATGGTTCACTCTATGATGATGTACCCAAACGTTATTCGCTCTGGCACCCAGTAATTGGACAGAAACAAGATATTCAGGCAAAGTTAAACTTTCGACACCAATAACAACCAATCATCAAAGACAGTTTCAACTTTTCAAAGAAAGTTCCTAGAAGACAATTAATTCAGTGTCGCTAACCAGTATGCACAATTATTCGCGCTAGAATATAGGTGAGCTTCCTCAACCAATGACTAGCATGCGTTCAGGGTCATTGGAACATTCACAAGATCATTGGAACATTTAAAATCTTGCGACTCTATTGTTGAACTTCGCCGTTTCTCTCACTGGCGGGCATAGAAAATTGCGTCCTGTAAGGCATGGTAAGTTCGGCGGTTTTCTAATGTTCAAACTATGCTTGTCTACTTTCAGGTCGGCTACGAAGTGTGCAGGGATTGGTTACCCAAGACGAGGCAACGGATGACCAATAGGACTGCCCTTTCCCTCTCATCTAATTGTATTGTGATTGGTTGTAAATATAATCCTTGACCTTGAGTCTTCGTTCTTACTAGCACACGACACTTGTGTGATCACACTTCTAACGTGCGCTTTGCTCTCTGTTTCAGATCATTGCTTGACGAGTGGGATTACAGTCCGTCGAGTAGTTCTTAGGTGTCATTTGTAAAGTAAGTTCAGCAGGAAATCCTACTGTCATTTCAAAATTTCTGTCTTCCAAACAAAGTGTAGAAAATACATCATCATGATAAAAACAATCAATCTTAATCTGACATATCACGTGGGTGTGTGCACTCTCAATCGTGTTCTTATACGATTGCACTCACATTAATTATGCTACACCTCCAGCCTGCAGAAGAACTTGTTTGATTATCGCTCACGTTCTGTTTTCTTTCTTCTTATTTTTCAGATTTTGGTTAACTTGTTGGTTGGTGTACTGCAAGAGTAATGACAGACGATATTGTATCATTAAGGTTGGCGTTATTGAATGCTAAGTCTAATCTACTGACTCATTTACAAAATCATCATGATCTCCAGCCTGTTGAATCAGAACTTAAAGACTTGGTTGACAAATTCGATGACTTGGGAAAGTATTGCCGGTATTTGTATAAGAATGCATTAATAAAGGTTAGGCCATATTTTTCTCCACTATTAATAAGTGTTTTGTGTCTAAGCCTCTTTTAAAACTTCACTCCTTTCTGTATTTTTTTATAGCAAAAGGGCTGTCGCAGGCCTTTTTCAACAATTTTATTTCCTATTTAGTTGTTTGTAACACTTACAATCGGAGAATGCTTCGAAATCTGGTTGTAGGTGATCTGCTTGTTTACCTATATGTAACGCACCTGGTAGTAAAACTCTGGGAACATTTGGGATTGTGCAAGCGTTTTAAGAAAATTTTGGCAATGTGTTGAAATTGTTAGAGTTACAGCGGTTTAGTATTGACTGACTGCTTCCAACGTACAACTTTGCATAGATGTGCAGCATTCCGAGTCGTCACTCGCCCCCTAGTTGTAAAACACAAAGCAAGAGAGATTCAAAAGGAAGTTAAACAGAAATATAAGGCAAAAAGAATAGTAATATGGGAGAATAATAGAATTTCATCGGATAGGATAAATCACTGAGAGTGAATGCATCTGCGCCACTGAAAACAATTTTGAGCCATATCACCAATAGTCTTCAGCCACTGGTTTTTGCCATTCCGAGGATGCTGCGTAAGTTGAACGTGGCTGTGGGCCAATTCAATTTCTCCTCAGTGTTCTTTCCAAGCTTCCAGTCGTCTATCCTGTGAGCTAATTATGGTGCCGTTTTTCTTGGAGATTGTTTCACTTATCATTTGTCTTTTGCCACCTCTTTCCCTGACAAGTCTAAATAGTTATCTGGTGTTACTTATCGTCGATGCCTTTTCCATCTCTCGCCCACCACTGTTCTTGGTCGTTACGAAGACTTCTTGTTAGTTTGCGTTTGAGCAGCTTTCGCTTCCCATCATATTTGGAGCTCGCCGGAATCAGTTTTTTTGTTGCGTTAATCATTTTGTATGAGATAATGGAAATCCACTGGCTCTTATTTACTTTTGGTTTTAGCTTATTAACAGCCTTTACAGCTGTGTCTACAGCTAACTGTACATTGTGCCAGACTTCCTCAGGAGGGGTCCTACTGTCGACCTCAGATACTCGTTTCGCTATTTCTTCCTTAAATAGGGAGTTAGTGTCTTGATCAATCTGGGGTGTGTGTGTAATTGCTTCGCTGTGCTACCAACAGTTTTTATGTCCGTTTAGACGTAAGCATAAGCATGCACCAACCAGGGTATGGTTGGAGTCTAAGCATGTGTTCCAAACTGAATTTCCATATTAGTTTGTTTATTAGATATATCACACAGTGAAACAGTATTATTTACTGGATGACGTTTCGAACAAAATTTATTGTTCATAATCATATCGATTGTAATCACACGACTTCGAAACTTGGGGTTTATAGTTTTCTTTGTTCTCTCCTATTTGTCGTATGGGTAGTAGAATTTTCCAGATATCGGGGATACATGTCTACGTATTGAAAAATGTCCTGTATGCATTTCTTCGTAAAGGTTTTCATTCATCTTCTCACTTATCTAATTTGTCGATAGTTCTTCCCATCTTTGTTTTTACTCCTCAACTTTGATCGATACACTTTCGACCGATGCCTAACCTCAATATTGTTCACCCTATTCTACCACTTCACACCGCAGATAGAAAGCAGGTACCTATGATCAAAGACAGCTAGCCAGACTTTTCATGTCTTCACTTTGAATGGCCATGTGTCACTCACAACTAGCCATAAAGGAGGACGGAGTGGACTGCTGAGCAGTACACCCGCCGTTTGGTCGATAGACAACTGGATATCACGTCTACTAAGCTGGAAATGGCGTAAACTGGCATATGCGAAACTAGCCTTCTATATCCGTGGAGAGATTTCGTCAGCGATCAACCCGCTGGCGTTGGCTGATGCAACTCGCGGAATAAGTCAAGCGGTCAAAGTGACCTTCCACTTCATTCCCTGTTTCTAAGCTAGGAGTTAGTCAATGTAGTCCAACCAGTCCTGTAGTATCATCTTACATTTGACAAAGGGAGCGAATTGCATGCCAAACATCTTCTCAAAGGTTTACATGTTTTTATTCTCTCTATTTACAAACTGTGGGTCTTAAGCTGACAGAAACAACTAATTCATTAAGGCTATAAGCAGAAGTGTAGAAACAACCCAAGGAGTACAGCTGGTGTAAACGACTATCAAGTCTAGGACCTAAAAGTATTGAAGGCTGACATATAGTAGAACTGTTGACTATTCGTTGACAATAAAAGCTAAGCCATATGAAAGTGTTGGTTTTCAGATTGTTATTCATAGTAAACGATGTTTAGAAATTAAGTAATCTAACTGAAGATGGATCATAATGGTACATCTGCAATGATAATTAGTCTTCTATGTTCTTTTCTTCTCTGCTTTATGGCGCTATACGAACTTGTACTATTATGCAGTTAGTAGTAGTGGGTTATGTTGTTATTGATTTTTTGATTATGTAGTCCTAGTCTCAGGATCGATCACGGATTCATATCAGTTAGAGAACCACTGAAAACCTGGGAGTATTGATTATTTGTTTCATCCTAGTTTGAGAATTCTCCAGCAGCAACCTACCAGTGGGGTTCGAACCCAACACCTTCCAGTCCGATTATACAGTAAGCTTGTAGACCATTCAGCTATTGGGACCCTATTCAACGGCCAACCCATGAATTTCAACTTATACCAATCCGTAGTTTTAGCTCGACTGGCACCAGCCAATATCATCGTCATTATTATTATTATTGTTCCCTTGGGTTCCTAGTGAAACATAGGGCTTCAACTGCACGCCTCCACTTGTTTCTGTCTTCTGCTGTACTTTTCACCTGCATCCATGTTAGTCCATACTGTTTCCACTCTTCTTCACACCATCTCCTCCATGTCACCCTTGGACGTCCCACTCGCCGCTTCCCTTTCGGGTTCCACTGGAGCACTGGCCTGACGCATGATGTCACCCAGTGGTCTCCTCAGCGAGTGTCCAGTCCATCTCCACTTCCTCCTGCATATTTGTTTAGCGATTGGTTCTTGTTTTGTTTGTTCCCATAGTTTCTTGTTGGTGATTCTGTCCGGCCATCTGATCTTGAGTATAGAACGAAGACAGTTATTGATAAATATCTGCAACAGGCTGTTGGAAATATTCTTTGTGACCCGCCGACCGCCGACCTTATTATCCCAACTGGTCATGACTTCTCACTAGAACTCCAGGCAGCCTCATTCTGGGGAGCCAGTCACTAGGGTGCATCAAATTAATTTCATTTGTTTTAAGTTTGACCACCATGAATTGATATCAGTCAGAGAAGCATTAAACATCAGGGGAGAACTGGACGGCTGTTTCATTGTAGTTTTGGGACTTTACGGTGATAGCGACTGTGTTAGACAGTACTTATAGTACCTATCTATTTTTTGTGATAGCATGATCAGTGCTTTCATATCGTTCACATAACAAATCTTTGATTTTATTTTTGAATTAGACGAAATTAATAAATGTTTACTAACAGCTTAAAAGGAGAATTAATTTAATTATAGGTAAAATTTATTTTGATAAAGTTTCACACAGTGGTGTTATACGGTAATTAATATTTACTGATGATAACCACGTTTCGAGCACAATTTATTTCTGCTGGTAATCATCATATCAAGGCACTACTCACACAACTTTCTAACCTCGTTTATATAATTCCATTATTTCCACTCATCGCTTGATTTGATGATTGATATTATTATTTGCCACATCTGTAGTATTAGTTTTGAGTCACTTCTATTACACATGTTGGGTGTAGGTAGACTCGATGAACCAAGATTCAATAATCAACCACCTCTCTCTCTGTCTCCACCTACCTATACTACGTTTTAGAATTTTGACTCTGTCCCACTCAACCTATTGTGTGTTTGCGTGTTAATGCACGCAGTGCAATCACTGAGCTTTTTTCTAAATTAGTAGATCAGGGGTAGTCAGATTGTCGGAACATGAGAACTTATATAAGGTTGGAATGGTTGACCTCGCGAAGATAAGTAATTTAGAAAACAAAACGTCATCAGTAAATATTACTTGCTGTATAACACCACCGTGAGACTTTATCAAAATAAATTTTATACCCATAATGAAATTATACTCTACCGCCACTATGCACAAGTTTTCTATTCTTAATTCACTGTAATGGCTTCCTCAAAATTATCTGATAAGGAACACTACTAAAAAAATCACCGAAAATACCCATTATACGTAACGACAATACCGACATCGAATTGGTAACTAAAGAGTTCAACACCTGTCATCATGCCATCAAGTTCACGTCGGAATCAGAGATCAACTCGGAATTCCATTTTTTGGATGTTTTTCTAAAGAGGAGATCTGATGGTTCTCTTCAAAGATCGATCTACAGGAAACCAACATTGAATGGTCAGTACACAAATTTCCATAGCTGGGTCCCTTTGAAAAGAAAGAGAAATCTGATCCATTCCTTATCCTCATCAATAAGGAGGATATTTTCAAGTGATACAATCGTTGGGGAACTGGAGCGACTCAGACAAGTCCTCATAGAGAATGGATATCCTCCAAGATTTATCGAGAAAAACATGAAGTTAAGGGAAAAACCTGAAAGAATACAGATGGTGCCGAAGAAACTACTGTTTATGAGTGTTGAATTTAAAGGCGATACCGCAGCTGAGATCCTGAAGAATCGCTTATGCAGATCACTGAGAAAAGCTTTCCTTATGACTGAGCTACGTATCAATTTCTACAGCCGACAAATGATCAACGGATGTGTGAAGGATAAACTGCCGCTTTGGGCCACCTCAATGTGTGTTTATAAATTCACTTGCTCGTGTGGAGCTAGTTATATTGGCCGCACAAAGCGCACGCTTTCCAAACGCATCTCTGAACATTATCCGGCATGGTTAGCAAAGGGACAATGCAAGACAATTACTAGTTCAATTCTCGAGCGTTTGGTGAACTCAGGCCACGTAGCTCCACCAGAATCGTCTTTCAAGATCATCTACAAAGTGAAGCCAAATGGTACAAAGGGCGTCAGGTTTCGGCTTTTGTGTATGGCGGAGGCTCTAGCAATTCATCAATACAACCCTGAACTCTGTATACAGAAAAAGTTTGTCCAGTCTCTTATTCTACCTTGGTCTTAACCTCTTCACTAATCGTTCCTTGTAAATAAAATATATTTTGATTTTTCTTTTCATTCTAATTTCACTTTTAGTTAGCTTTTGCTTTAATAATTAATTCACTATTATCACTCTCATGTGCTCCTTTTGTATATTTTCACACCCTCTTCACACTTGTTAAATTGACACTCAAATACCTTTATTCTCACTTAATAGCAATTTTAACCTTATCAAATTTCTATCTTTGTGCCGTTGAGTACCACGTAATTTTCAACTTCTAATTTTCACTTCTGAAGCCACTTCTGAGTAATTATATCAATTATGTTACCCCCTATTACTCAATAATAGACCACTATATATTTTTGTAAGTATAAATACGATCGTACAGCCTCTGAAGATGATTTCGTCGATAAAGAAAATTTACTAAAAAAATGTCACGTAACTTCAGCGCACCAACAAAAGGAACTCATAAGTCATGGGACCCGGTACAGCCACTGCATTTCCCATGACTTCCGAACAGGAGAACGACCACGGGATGATCACAGGTCTACCAATCACCCACACCGTGGAAACTATCAAAATCTGATCTAGAGCTGGGCGCTTGATTACAACGAACTGTCTAGTCATCTGCAAAGAATGTACCACTATTATATCCGAAAATAGAGGGACATACAAAGAAAGGAAGTCTTACATGACATGCGTTTTTATGCAAATGTGTGTGTGCATATTAGGATTAGGTTGGGTTTCGTTCAGGTCGTGGATGCATTCATCATGTGTTCACCGTTCGTCAGTTGTTGGAACACCGCCACACGTATTGCACGCCAACAATCGTAGTGTTTCTTGATATTAGGGCTGCCTTCGATTCGTTGGACAGAAGTGTGCTCTGAAACTGTCTGTTTGAGACGGGTGTACCCGAGAAATTTGTTAACATCTTGAAAGCCCTATATAGAAACACCTCAGGTAGAGTGAGGACATACAACCAACTATCATCACTGTTCCCAACCGACAGTGGGGTTAGACAGGGTGGCTCGGTCGATATCGTCTTACTGTGCGATAACATGCAGGCTGCCCAAATCGCACTTAATCAGTTGGCGATCAGTGTCTGTAAGTATGGTATATGCCTTGCACCGTCTAAGTGCAAAGTACTGTTAAGAGATTGGCAGGAGTGTGTACCTGCACTCACTCCTCCACGTGAACCTCTTTCAGTTGTTGATAAGTTCTTGTATCTGGGTAGTTGTGTGAATGCTGGCGGAGAGGTGACGTATGAGATTTCCGACCGTATAATGATGGTTAGGGTGGCATACATCAACTTGAGCCACCTCTGGCGCCATCGCAACGTTAGCCTGGCTGTCAAAGGTTGGCTATACTATGCGCTTCGGTGCGGGTTGTCTTGCTCTGCGCCTGTGAAACCTAGCCTCTCCAAGCTGAAGATGTGAGGCGACTCTGCGTATTCGACCATCGCTGTCTCCACAGAATTGCTTGCGTGTGATGGCATTATCGCGTTGAGTAATTCTGAGGTTTGGCGGCGTGTGTTTGAACACAGTGGAGATCAACATTCGTTGAGTGTCGTCATCTAGAAAAATACCGGCTTCGGTGGCTTGGACATGTGTTGCTAATGTCATCCTGGAGGCTTCCGTACAGGTCTCTGTTCGCTAGCCCTGGGACGGGATGGAAAAGGTTAGTCCATCACGTGGCGTCGTGGGATAAAGGATATTTGTACTAGATTAGCATCTGTTGGTGCGTCACGACTCCCTGATTGGGGTCCGCGAGATAACCCGAATCGATGGATCAAAACGTTATCGGATATGGCCAAGAATCGCAATCATCAATGGTGAACGTGTTGCAATTTCCTTCTTTCTTTCCTTCCCGATAATAGTTGACGAATACTGTTTGAACTTGTCAAGGATGACTTTTCCTTCCAGATGAAGTTCTTTACCCATTCTCTACTTATATTTTTACTTGTAATCCATGTTGTTTTATTATTATTGTGTGGCGCATCTTTCTTGCTGCCATATTGTACCAAGTTTTTTTTGCGTGTAAATGAATAAATAAATAATTTTTGCGTGTGCGTAGTGCCTTGGTATGATGATTATGAGCAGTAATAAATTGTGCTCGAAACGTGGTTATCATCAGTAAATATTACTTGCTGTATAACATACTGTGTGAGACTTTATCAAAATAAATTTTACCCATAATAGAATTATACTCTACCGCCACGACTGTGCACAAGTTCTATTCTTATATCAGGGAATTAGTTTATTTGTTGTAAAATTCTGTTATACAAAACTTCAAGCTATTTATTTACGGTATTATTCACTCTTTCATATATATTCTTCTTTGTTTTATTTCATGACATTGAAAAACACCCCCTGTCGGATACAACGTTAACTGTTGTAAAGTTTTTCTATTACTATCATCATTTTCAAGAATTGGTTTTGTAGGGATTTTGTTTTGATTGGATGGAAGAGTTCATCATGAGCTGACATCAGTTAGAGAACCATGAGTAAACCTGCAGGGAGTACTGGGCAGCTCTTTCGTCCTAGTTTGGGGCTCCTCATCAGTACGCACCCGCACCGTGGGGTTCGAACCCAGAGCCTTCTGGTTACAAGGCTAGTGAGCTCGTAGACCATTCATTCAACCACTGGGATCCAATCCAATGGCCAGTCAGTCCATGAATTCTAACTTCTGCCAATTCATGATATAGCACGACCACTTCACAATGTCTTCTTCGATGAGTTACCACCTCATCTTCAACCTACTGATCACGACTATTATTATTATTATTATTATTATTGTTTTAATCAAGTTATTTCTGACGCTTCTTCCTCCCCCAACCTTTTCTTTATTTCCCATAGGTCAAATCTAATCTACTCAATGAAGACGATAAAAGGGTATCCTCAGCTTCAGAGTTTGATAAAGAAGCATTTAGTCAACTACAAGAGCTATTAGACATGTATAGGAATTTTTCATCTTTGTTAGACTTACATCAAACTTTAATTGAGTTAGAAGCTTCAATCGATGAATTGATATGTAAATGTTCAATATCTGGCGAAAAAGAAAACTGGAAGAAACTACTCAATATAGACGAGTCAGAAGATGATTGTAAGGATAACTTAGAAGTTGAAGAAAACTACAAAGAAATTAATGAGGCAGTATTCCGGTGAGTGTGGTTTACTCCGTAACTTTTTATTTTACCAGTGCCTAAGACACGAAAAAGGGCAAGTGTCTACAATACACCTTTCACAACTATGGTGGTGGACATGCTGGCTTAACCTAGGGGACTGATTGATTGACTAACTGACTGGTTTCAACAAAGGTAGCACTTCGCACAGATATGCAGCACTTCAACTTGCCACTCTCTCTTCATGTACCACACAGAGCAAGAGAAGACAGTAAAGAGAGATTCAATTGTGAGTGAGGGGAAAAGAATAGTAGTAATGTGGTCGAAGAACAATAGAGTTTCATTGGATGATATGAGAAATCACAAAGAGTGAGTGAATGCATCTTCGCCAGCCATTGAGAACGAGGATTCTGAGCCATATCACCAATAACTGACTCCAGCCTTCATTAGTTCTTACCATCCCTAGGACCCCAATCAACCAGTTAGGAAATCCACACCTCCCTACGTGAGTTAAACTGACTGTTGTGGATTTCATTCACTGATGCCGCCAAGTTTCGGTTTGACTACCAACCACTAACTGTTTTCCAAAAACCTGATTCATCCTGTGTCAGCTAACATTGTTGGTTGTCGAGGAAGACGATGGATGGTTAGCCATGCATGAGTTACCCATATCCTAGCTATCTCAATCGATGTAGCTTCACAACCTCATCAATTGATTTCCCCTCCCTATCTAACACTTGATCGATGCCTGACTTCAGTATTACTCACCCTATTATACTATACCACCACTTAACACGGGAGATAGAATTCAGACATCTATGATCAAAGACAGTTGGCTGGGCAGGCTTTTCATGTCTTCCACTTTGAATGGCCATGTGTCACACAGCGAACTGGTGCGTTCCTAGTCTACTGAGAGTGTCCTATTCCTATGGAAGGGAAATTCCGAACATGTGGCGCTTACAACCAGACTGATAGACATACTGGTCTATCTAGTTAAGGGAGTTGGAAAACTGATTCCAAACCTATTGTGTACATTCCCCTTAGAATACTTAGAGGATCAAATGATGTATGAACCTTCATTCAGTCACCGGAAACTTTAGGAACGCAACTCCCCCGCATTGCTCCACTGCCTTATGGATTCGACTTAGAATCAAATGTTCGGGGAAGGGATTGCCCTTAAAGGCAACCACCCGCTGTATTCTGCATACCTGAGCATTATCATAACCATCGTACAAACTGACATATTGTGTGGTGCATCTCTTGGTTGCCCATAATGTACCATGTTTGTGTTTGAATGATATAGTCATTATTAGTGTATGAGTTTTGATATTCACGGAATGTATAAAATACGTAAAGCTATTAAATGTAAATGAAGACACGTACAAAGACGTTGGTCAACTCAAGCCTCCTACTCTGTTTCACGTCTATTACGGATTACATATGACAAGTGCTTTTAGCGATGTTATTTTCACTCTATGAGAAGCAACGGATAGTTTCTGAAAAAAAAAATGTTTCCATATTTCCATAAATATGTGATGCTGACAAGCGGGAGATAGTGGACGCGATTCCATCGCGACTGCATCTGATTCACAGACCTCTAGAGTATGCGTAAATAATCTCAAGAAGCTGTCCCTGTAGTCTCACACGTTCTGGTCGATATGACGACCATTATTAATCCATCTGTTTACTTAGGTACTTCAAGAGAAAGTAATATTTAATGTTTTCACGATGTTAAAGGACTTCTCTCCCTCTCTCTCCCTAACAGACAACCCCAGAGTGCAGTTTTGCCCAGCGAATCGAAGGCAGCCCTAGTATCAAGAACCACCAACGATTGTTTGTCTGAGAATAGCACGCTAGTTGTGGATAGTTACGTCATATGTCGAACCAAAACAGGATAGATAAGTGTATATCTGCCCACAATAATGTGTTTTAGTGTGTAATAGGCGTTTTCAAATATAGCGAAAATATTCATTCAGACATCTATAAAACACAAAATAATTGAGCAAAGAATATCCTTTTCGATAATTTCCTCTTCTGGTTCTACAATTTTAAACATATACATGTTTATATACACAGAATATTCTAGAATAGTAGTCAATAACAATATCGGTGTTTTTTAAATAATATCGAATTGTTAAGTAAGATCACAAAGATGCTTAAATTTATAATAATAATAATAATAATAATAAAGATATAGTAGTAAATAGAATATCAACTAAGATCAGGAAAATTCCACAAAAATTCCGGATTATTCAAACCTGGATGGCCAAGGTAAGGACAATGTTTGAACTAGCTTCTTTTGGACTCATAAATTAGGCTTCTTAATATGGGTCCCAACAGCCTCAGCAATATTTAGTAGTCGAACTCTTAAGGCAAAATTGAGATTTTTTTGGTATGCGGTAAATAGCCCTGAAAGAATGGTTAACATCAATCTTTTGTGCAGTATCCACGAGATGAGATAGAATAGCGCTGCGAATAGATTTTGTTTGTCCTTTACTTAACCACCATGCAGGGTGATGTTCGGAAATTCGACGAGAAACACGTCTAATTGTACGGCCTATGTAACTAGCTGGCTCCACAGGAGCAGTTAAATTGGTAGATACACATTGAGGAGGCGAAATTAGGCAGTTTGTCTTTTACTCCCGAATACAAAAGAGGAGTGGTTTTGAAGACACAGCTTAATTCGGTAGCAGGGAATGCTCTTTTTACCGCATTTCTGAGGCGTTGTGTTAGTATCTCGCTGATGTTGTCCCCAAGGAATTGCATTTGTAAAAATAAGGCCTTTTTAGAAACTGCTGGTACCTTGGGCTGCTTTGATTTTAGATTCATATTCTTATCAATAAACTTTTCTGGATAACCATTTTCACTCAGCGACCGTTTAATATTATTAAGTTCCTCATGAAGGCATTCATCCGAGAAGATTGCTCTTGCTCTGTGAATCAAACAGTTTATCAGATTGCGTTTGTATTTCAAGGGCACGAAGCTGAAAAAAAATGAGTATACTGACAGTCAGTTGATGTACGTTTTCTATATACACTTCTTATTGTGCTATCCTCTTTTCTGGTCATAAGGACGTCTAGAAATGAAATAAAGTGAATTATTATTATTATTATTACTATTATCATTATTATTATTACTATTATCATTATTATTATTATTATTATTATTATTATTATTATTATTATTATTATTATTATTATTATTACTAGAGTCGTTTTCTTTCTCAATAGTAAACTTTTTTGCGGTATGAACCTCGTTAAATTTGTCCAGACAGGATATTCTTTGCTTCCTTCTCATTTTTCATAATCAAAAATGTATCATTCATGTACCGACAATAGAATTCAAGTTCATGGATAACATCCTTCAAAGGCCCATTATTTTCTAGTTTCTCAAGGAAAATGTCGGCTAAAATACTCACCCAATTTCTTCTTTTTTTTCTTCTAATGCTTAGCCCGTACGTCGATGAAATAGTTTTTTATCTTCACGCGGCTGAATATTTACTCGCTGAACAACCAAAGTTTAATAAGGACGCTGCATTGCTATTTCGAAGCATGACGCTTACACTTATACGATGCAAGGTACGATTTGTTCCTTTCTTTGTGTATTATTACTATTATTATTACTGATATGTACTACTTATAAATAATCATTAGTATATCCAGAAATCGCTTTGGAAGTGAGCAATGATTGCATTATGTGTGTTAGTGAGACAAAAAAAAACGCCGGAAGTAGAAGTAAGGCTGTGAGTGGTGCCCTTTTCAATCCTCTTGAAAGGTAGGTGGTGGGTGATATAACTAACGTTGTAGAAGACTTGTCAGCGTTGAATTTCTCGAATACTTCCTGCCTATATTTTGGACTGTCTTAAAGGGAAACTAATCGCTCAACAGATTTTCATCGACGATTCGCCTATCCGCAATCTCCATATGAACAGCTGTGAGCAGCTTACTTTTCGCCCCCATCTCTCGGCCAGTACGCCCGAAAATGATTAATTTTATATTCCGTGCTCTCCTACACAACGCGTGAAGAGTACTGACTGACTGGTTTCAACATAGATAGAACTTTGCACTGATGTGCAGCACTTCAAGTTGCCAGTCTCCCTCCATGTACCACACAAAACAAGTGAAGAGAGTAAAGAGAGATTCAAAATAGAGAGAGATAATAAACGGAAGTATGACTGAAGGAAAAAGAATGGTAGTAATAGGATGGAAGAACAATAGAGTTTTATTGGATATTATAAGTCATAATGTGTGGATGCATCTGCGCCATTGGGAACGATTTTAACAATATCATTGATTGTCTCCAGCCATTGATTTTTACCGTTCCGAGGCCCCCAACCAGTCAGGAAGTCTACACCTTCCTATTTGGCTAGCTGAAACGAACTGTTGTGGATTTCATTGACTGATGCCGCTATGTTTTGGTTTGACCACCAGTGATTCTTCTATAACCTGACCCTACGTCAGCTAACATTGCCCGTGGAGGAAGGCGATGACTAGGCATACGTAACACATGTTGTAACCATCTCAGCCGATGTAACTGCATAACCTCGTCTATTGATTTTCCCTCCTTACCTAGCACTCGACTGAGGCCTAACCTCAATATTGCTCACACTATTCTACCACTTCACCTATAATCAAAGACAGCTAGACAGACTTTTCATGTCTTCCACTTTGAATGGCCATTTGTCACTCACAGCTAGCCATAAAGGAGGACGGAGTGGACTGCTGAGCAGTACACCCGCCGTTTGGTCGATAGACAACTGGATATCACGTCTACTAAGCTGGAAATGGCGTAAACTGGCATATGCGAAACTAGCCTTCTATATCCGTGGAGAGATTTCGTCAGCGATCAACCCGCTGGCGTTGGCTGATGCAACTCGCGGAATAAGTGAAGCGGTCAAAGTGACCTTCCACTTCACTCCCTGTTTCTAAGCTAGGAGTTAGTCAATGTAGTCCAACCAGTCCTGTAGTATCATCTTACATTTGACAAAGGGAGCGAATTGCATGCCAAACATTCGCAGATTGCTCCTCAAGGTGTTCAGAAAACTGCTCTGTTTGGTCAGCTTCTTCCCCTAGAAGGACTATATCATCTGCCCATTCAAAGTCAACGAGACTATTATTCCCTGCATCTCTGAAATGAGTTGAGGTTAAGTCCGTTAGTAAATCTGAAATGAAATTGAATAGAAATCAGGATATTGGGCATCCCTGACGGACACCGCTAGTTTTCACCATTTCAGATGACAACTTGCCGGCTGCATGAGTTCGAGTAGAGTGTCTTGATTAATGCAATGTATTTTCTCGGCATTCCCTTCACAGCGAAGCATCGCCATAGTACCTCTCGGTCAACAGAATCGAATGCCGCCTTTAGGTCAAGAAAGATAACGGTTGTTGGACGCCGCCAACTATGCCTACTGAGATTTCGTCAGTGATCAACCCGTAGGGGCTGGCTGATGTCACTTGCCAAATGAGTGAAGTATATAGTCAACACCCTCAGGCACCACTTCACTTGACTCCCTATCTTGAAAGTAGGAGTGAGTCAATGTGCTCCAGTCCTATATCATTATCATCTTACATTTGATAAAAGGAGCGAATCGCATGCGAAACACTCGAAGCTTGCCGCTACTCATGATGCGTTCAAAAGACTCTGCTCTATTTTGTCAGTGTTTTCACCTAGACGGGGAGCTATATCATCTGCATGTTCTAAATCAACGAGATTATTCCCTGGTAGCAAGTCAATCCCTGCGTCTCTGAAGTGGGTTACGTTCACGTTCATCAGTATATCTTTGATGTGTGAAGTGTACATGACTTGCGGCTGTCAGCAGGTAGAATTACTGATTTCTGAAGCTTACTTCATCATCACTGAATCGCAATAACTTGAGTGCACGGTTTAATTTTAAACAAGTGAGGTAAAGCATTGATGAAATATTTCGTCTCTTTTAATTACTTGATTGGCGATTCTTCACATGAGTCAACAGTGAACTGAATAAAGGCAGGCAGCGTTAACTGATTTATAACTTTCATTTCAAATATTATTCAGTAATTATTATTATTGTTTCCTTCAATGCCTAGAGGAACATAGGGCTTCAGCCGTGCGTCTCCATTGCGTTCGGTTCCCTGCTAGAGTTTTCACCTGGCTCCAAGTCTGCCCACACGCTTTCATCTCTTCACATGACCTCCTCCAAGTCACCCTTGGACGATCAGCTCGCCGCTTCCCTTTCGGGTTCTACTCGAGCAATGGCTTGTCTAGTGATGTCACTTGATGGTTTCCTCAGAGTATGGCCAATCCATCTCGATTTCTTCCTGCCTATTTGTTTCACATTCGGTTTCCTGGTTGGTTCGCTCATTGCCAGAGATCCCTGTTGCTGATCTTTTCTGGCTGGCCATCTGATCAGTCGGTCGGTCGGTTTTCGATCTTGAGCGAAGACAACTGCTAATGAAGGTCTGTAGTTTGTTTGAGATGCTCTTTATGACGCACTGGCCAAGTCTCTGATCCGTATAGTATAGAACTGACTGACTTCACATTGGAGTTGAAAATCCGGATCGAATTTTTGATGCTGAGTGCTGTTGACCTCCACACAGACTTAAGAGTAATGAAAGCTTGTCTTGCTTTTCCTATTCTTGCTTTGATATCCTCGTCAGTTCCACTGGCCTGTAGTTGAAACGATGCTTCCCAGGTAGTCAGGTAGGTAAAAGAGGTTGTTTCTTTCAGGTTCCTCCCATTTATGCTGATTGTTGTCTGTCGTTGTTGTTGCTGTTGGTGGTGTTGCCCAGGAATCTTCATCACCTATCTCTGTTTCCTCTATGTTCACCTGAAGTCCTGTCTTTGATGCTTCTTCTGCCAACTTGTTGCTTTTCGCTTGCATATCTTCCAGTTTGTGGGAAATCAAACATATATCATCGGTGAAGTCTAGATCCTCCAAGTTTTTTGTGTGAGTCCATTTTATGCCTGTTTCCTCATTGCCCACTGTTTGTCGCATTATCCAGTCTATCGCAATCAGGGAAATCATTGGCGACAGTAGGCAGCCAGCTTGTTTTACTCCCGTCTTCACTTCGAAGGATTCCGGTAGTTTCCCGTTGTGGATTACTTGGCATGCAGCATTGTCGTACAGCTGTTGGATGAGATGTATAATTGTCAGTGGCAACTCGTAGTAGCGAAGTAGTTGCCAAAGCACCTCTCGATCGACGCTGTGCTATCGAAGGCCTTTTCAAAGTCGATGAATTATTATTATTCAATAATGATGTTACTTATAATTCACTGTGTGCAAAAGTAACAGGCCTATCCTTCTTTTCAGTAGAGGTGTTGGGGTTGCTAGCCTCATTCGCAACCTTCCTTCTTTTTCGAACTTATAACTGACTAATAAATCTGACTAATTTGCTAACTAACTAACTGGTTTCAACATAGAACTTTGCATAGAAGTGTGCCAGTTCGAGCTTTTACATTCGATGTAGCATATAAAGAAAGACAGTTCGAGAGAATAAAGGATGTTTCAGAAGGACAATCATAATGACACAAATGTGTGTGTGTGTGAGAGAGAGAAAGAAAGGAAGAATTGTAACATGGGGAAAAACAACAGAGTTTAATGGATAGCGCTATTACCTCCTGACTATTATCTCTACTACCGTGACATGGTGATCGGGCTTGCATATCGTGATGACGCAACAAGCTACACTGGCTGGAGGTAACGTTTTTAGAGGGTTCTACTGTACCAAGAAGGATGTTTGGATAGCGATTAGACCAATGAAGGCAGTTACCGGCATTTTGTAAATGTTTACACTATGTGGGGAGGGGGTCTGTGAGCAAAGTCGTACTGCTAAGGAACAGGGATGTAAGAGCAAGTAAGGTGTTTTTCCATTCAGATGACCATCAAGCGGCGAAAGATGGTAAATTCCGACTTACTTTAGGGTGGCAGGTTCGAAATACGGACGCAATTCTAATAACGAATTCAGTAAGGCCATGTGTGTGTGACTGGTCTCAAGCAGTTGTCCCTTGGGCTCTGCGGTCATGCAGTACTAATTCGCTTCCTGTTCCAGGTACTCTCTAAGATTGGTAAACTAGGAGGTATAGGTGTGCGATAACCTCTCGAAATGTACTAAGGTCATCAAAGTAATGACGGTTTTTGATATGCTTCAACTTTTATTTACGCCTAGCATATCATTTATTACAGGATTTCATCATGAGCTGATATCGGTTAGAGGACCATTGGAAAGCTAGTCGACAGTACTGGATAGCCAGTTGTTTCGTCCTAGTTCGATACTCTTCATCACTACACACCCACCGTCAGACTTCGAACCAAGAACCCTTCCGGTTACAAGACTAGCGAAATTGCAGACCATTAAACCACTGGAAGCCGATCCAGTGGTCAGATGATGACTTCCAACTCCTTCCGATCAGCGAGTATTTGTCCTCACGCCTGACCCGCTGTATTTTTAAAAATTTTATATTTTGCCTTTTTCTATCCCTAAGGGTCTTCTTGCTCAAGTTGTCGATGAGTTATGGTGTCGATGGATTATTCTAGAGTTGCCGTCGAAACAAAAAGATGTAACACCATTTTCTAATGTCAATATACCCTATCCATCAATTCATGAACAGGTGGAATCGAATGATTTTTTCAGTTTTTCATTCAACGCTTGTATACCGTCAGTAGCTCACATGGCAAAAGCACTGAATAATCCAAATTCCCTATTTGATTCATTTTTTTATCGTCTGTCGTCGGATAATGATGATCTACCGGCGACTATTCCGCTATGTGGAAAATCTTCTGTATTGGCTAGTCTTAAAATATTGGCCAAGCCTGGATTAATATGTCAGTTGTTGAGAATTATTGAAGCTTTAGAAGAGTCTAAGGTTAGTTAACTAACAATTTCTATATATTAAATATTCCCATAGTAAAATGTAGAAGAACACATTTAATTGAACAATATTGTGGTTTCAATTAGATCTCTCATCAGGCTTAACTCTAATATATATAAGTTTACAAATAACAATTCAAATATAAACCAATCATGGTGTTTTGTCTATAGGATAATTATTATATTATTATTATCATTGTTCCCTTGGGTTCCTAGTGAAACATAGGGCTTCAACTGCACGTCTCCACTTGTTCCTGTCTTCTGCTGTACTTTTCACTTGCATCCATGTTAGTCTATACTGTTTCCACTCTTCTTCACACCATCTCCTCCATGTCACCCTTGGACGTCCCACTCGCCGCTTCCCTTTCGGGTTCCACTGGAGCACTGGCCTGATGCGCGATGTCACCCAACGGCCTCCTCAGCGAGTGTCCAATCCATCTCCACTTCCTCCTGCATATTTGTTGAGCGATTGGTTCTTGTTTTGTTTTTTCCCATAGTTTCTTGTTGGTGATTCTTTCCGGTGGCCATCTGATCTTGAGTATAGAACGAAGACAGTTGTTGATAAAGGTCTGCAACAGGCTGTTGGAAATATTCTTTGTAACCCGCCACGTTTCTGATTCGTATTGAAGAACTGACTTGACGTTTGTTTGTTATGAAAATCCGAATTCTATAGGATAATACGATGGTGAATATAAACTGTACAATTAGTCATAATAATAGTAATGATAATGATAGTAATAATAAAAATGGTCTTATCAATAATAAGGATGAAAAAGTGAGGCAATCTGTGATAACACGAATAATGAAAAACAGCATGATTAAACAAACAAATGTTCAAATAGGCGTAGTAGTCGATAAAGGCCAGTAAAAGCAAATGAACCGATTACGTAATGTTAGATTGTAAGGGAAGTAAATGAAACACGTTTTTAATGAAGGTGTGATAAGATTAAGGGATGATGACAAGAGAGGGGTTGATCATATAATTAAGGGATGGTGGTGTAGAAGTCATTAGTTGGTTATATCTTAATAGGCCAACAAGGGAGAGATAATGGCTGAAAGAACTTCATCTTTTGAATGCATAGTTTAGGTTTAATAGTTCGAATGTCTATCGCCTCAGCTGTGTGCGTGCAGTAGACGAATACGAAGTCTATTGGAAAGATTCGGTGGGATACGATGAATTACTTTGAAGGCTGTCGTTTTCTCCACTACATGACCACTATCAATTAAGTGTGACAAAATAGAGTTACGGATTGTTTTTGTCTGTCCTTTGCCAAAACACCACGATGGGAGATGTTCACTAACACGTTGGCTAAACTGTCTAGTAGTACGTCCAACATAACTGTCACCGCAGGTGCAGTTGAATTGATAAATGCACATAGATGTGGCGAAACTATCAAGCTTATCCTTCGTTTGCGTCCGAATCATTCGTCGGCTAGAGAATGACAAACATAGGTTTGCTGCATAAAATGTTCTTTGTATACTCCTTGAAAGTCTTTGGAATAAATCCTCACTTTATAAGTCACCATTAAATTGTAACTTAATAAATAGAGGTTTTTTACGTGCAGTCAGAGTCTCCGATTTTTTCTCCGATGTTTTAATATGTTTCTTTATGAATTTTTATTTGTAAACTTATATATATATTAGAGTTAAGCCTGATGGGATCTAATTGAAACCATAATATTGTTCGCTTAAATGTGTTGTTCTGAACAAATTCTGTCTTTTTGGATTTTTTTTCTTTGATTCATTGGTTGACTGGTTAGTTGGTTGGTGGTTGGCTATGTACTTTAGCTGTCGTCTAACCGTTTGACTGTTATTTATCTAATTGAATTTATTTAGATTTCCCCATCGACTGATTGGACGGAAGTTCTGCTCGGTCTCAGGTTGACATGTCGGCGTCTCTTTGTGCAGATGCTTCGACGATGTCTGGGAATGTAATTAGAATTTAATTGGTGGATGGTCACTAGCAGGGGAATACAGGATGAGCATTTCGTCCTATTTGGAATTGACTCGTCAGCCAGTGGATGTACCTACGCTCCCTAGTGAGAGTGGTGGATGATGTTCCCACCGAGGCTCGAACCCAGTGCTCATAGTTTCAGACGCCAAAGTGTTATCCACTAGACCGCCTGAGCCATGAGAGCCGCCTGTTGTGCAACGGGTCATACATCCAGTGACGAGTCCCAAATAGGACGAAATGCGCATCCCAGTGGATTCCACTGCTAGTCATCATCATCCACTAATTAAATTCAAATTAAATGCCCACTAATCGTCAAAGCATCTGCACAAGAAGCCGACATGTCAACCTGAGACCGAACACTTCGGTCCAATCAATCGATGAGAAAATCTAAAAAATTCAATTAAATAATTAATATGACCCGTTGCACAAGAGACAGTGGCTCTCGTGGCCCAAGTGGTCTAGTAGATAACGCTTTGGAGTTTGAAACTGAGGGTACGGGGTTCGAGCCTCGGTGGGAACATAATCACTCGCTGGGGAATGCAGATACATCCACTGGCTGACGAATCCCAAATAGGGCGAAATGCACATCCTGGATTCCTCTGCTAGTCACCATCCACGAATTAAATTCTATTTGACTGTTAATCAGAGGTATATAATTAACCTTGGTGGATATGTTCACGACAGTATTGCGAAAAGTTTGGAAGGAAGAAGAAGAAGGGAGATTAAAACTTGAACCTTTGCAAAAGACTGGCACGGAATCATGCTCCTGTCCATGTCAATTCTCATCATCCTGGAAAGGGAGAAAGAGAGAGGGACAGTAAAGGTGCGCCAGATGGAAAACTCAGTTCTTTCGAAATAAGGTGGATTCAGAAAAAAAAGTTCATGTATTCAACAAATTGTAACTCTACATATCATCATCGAACAGAGGGCCTCAACTTCATCGACTTTGAAAAGGCCATTAATAGCGTCAACCTTAAAGTAATTTGGAGCCTACATGAATACTACGGAGTACCCTAAACCTTTATAAACCTCATTCATAAGCGATATGATGATAATGGTGCCAGATGCTAAGTGAATTACAGCTTAAAACTCAACGGAGTCTTTGAAGTGAAGACAAGAATAAGACAAGGCTGCCTACTATCACTGATCATATTCCTGATATAATGGTCGACTGGATCATTAAGCAGCAAACTGTGGCGGGGGGTGAGAAGACAGGTATACGTCATGTTATCGTACTTGTCAACCCGAGGCTGAGCACTTCAGTCCAATCAATCAATCAATTGGAAAGTCCAAATTGAAGTGGATAACTACTGATCCTTGCTGCACAAGAAGTGGCTCTCGTGGACAACACTTTGGCGTTTGAAACTATGGGTACTGGGTTCGATCTTCGGTGGGAACACTATCCACTACTATCCACTGAAGAATGGAGGTACATCCACTGGCTGACGAGTCCCAAATAGGACGAAATGCGCATCCTGGTGAATTCCGTTGCTAGTCAGTCACCATCCATCAGTTTACTTCAACTTCACTGGTTCTTACCATCCCTAGGACCCCAACCAACCAGTTACGAAGTTTACACCTCCCTACGTGGCTGGCTGGCTGGTTGCTTAGCTTAAACTAACTGTTATGGATTTCATTGACTGATGCTGCCAAGTTTTGGTTTGACCACCAACCACTAGGTCTTTTCCAACAACCTCATTGATCTTGTGTCAGTTAAAATTGCCTGTCGCCGAGGAAGGAATGCATGAGATACACATGTTCTATCCATCTCAATCAATGTAACTTCACAATCTCGTCGATTGACTTCCCATGCTTATCTACAACTCGACGCCTGGCCAACTCAAAATTACTCACTCCATTATACTATGCCACCACTTAACACGGGAGATGGAACGCAGACACCTACGATCAAGGATAGCTAACTAGACAGGCTTTTCATGTCTTTCACTGTGAATGGTCATAAAGAACGGTGTAGCGAACTGTTGAGCAGTATACACGTCGTTTGATCGATGGTCGTGAGTTGGCATATGCCAAACTAGGTTTTTGTATCTATTGGTGGGTTTTCATCATCGATCAACCCGTTGGAGTTGGCTGATGTCACTTCCCAAACAAATGAATGTTGACCACTTCACCTATTCGGGAAGTTGTATCAACACCAACGGATTGATTGGTGACGAAATCTCAGCATGGATCCAAAAAGCTCGGGCTGCTTTCGCTAACTTACACCATCTCTGGCGTAGGCGTGACATCCCTGTGTACTGCTCATCAGTTCTCTCCGTCCTTCTCTATGGCTCTGAAACATGGCCAATACGAGTCGAAGACATGAAAAGGTTGACTGTTTTTGATCATGGATGTCTACGATCTCTTTCTCACGTTAGGTGGCATAATAAGGTAAGTAATGTTGACGTTAGGCGTAGAGTGTTGGGCAAGGAGGGAAAATCAATCAACGAGGCTATAAAGTTACATAGATTGAGATGGCCAGGTCACGTGCTGCGCATGTCTAACCATCGTCTCCCACGACGGGCATTACTAGCTGATATAGGTGCAGGTTGGAAAAGAGTAAGCGGTGGCCAAACAAAAACATGGCATCAATCCATGAAATCCTTGACAGTTAAACTGAGTCAGGTAGGGAGATGCAGACTTCCGGGTTGGGGCCCTCGGGACTCTAAGAATCAATGGCTGGAGACAATAGGTGGACATGGCTCAAAATCGTTGTCAATGGCTTACGCAGATGTATTCAGTCTCTGTGATCTTTCATATTCCTTTCTACCATTACTCATTCTGTTTCACTCTTATGCTTGTCAAAACTCGATTGATTCTCTTCACTGATTTTCTTGTCTACCTTTGTGTGCTATTTGGAACGTGGCAACTCGAACTGCTGCACTTCGGTGTCAAGTTCTATGTTGAATCCAGACAGACAGACAGAGAAGGCTCTTGGCCCGATTATATAGACACTGAACTAAACCTATTTTTACCGGTTACCGGCATAATCTTTTTAAATAGCTTCACTTATCCCACAATGCTCATACCTTATTTACTTGCATATGTTGAATCCAGCCAGCCCAAACAAGTGAAGTATGTGGCCAATACTCTCAGGCACTACTACTTCACTCCTGCTTATCTTTAAGCTAGGAGTGAGTCGATGTATTCCAGTCCTGTAGCGTTATCATATTTAACATTTGAGCAAGGGGGCGAATCGCATGTCTTGTTGTACACAGATCATTTAATTAAAAGTATGTGAATATCTTTTGGCATTTTATTCGAAATTGTCAGCAGTTGGCAAGATACAATGAGAAATCATATCGCCCTGTTCAGGTTGTCCTTGAGGTTGGTTGAAGCCTTGCCTGATATATTGTTGACACAAAGTTTTCGATTATCGCACTCCTTATAGAACCAACCATGTAGTGAGGTAGTGTTCTTGAACCTTTTTAGATAGCATACGCTTTGAACGACCGATGCACCTGACTTCACAGCAACAGATGAACTAATATATACACATAGAAATGGTCAGAAAGGAGATCTTGTCCTTAAGGCTTCTGCAGACCAATGGCCGACTAGACGGTAAGCTACAGACATTTGATTTGACTGATATCAGTTAGTAGAGTACACTATAGAAAGTCATGACTATTATAGTTCAGCAGATTTGGTGTGACTCTCAATGACGCTAAAATTCTGAATTATCAGAATTAAAGAATTGATGGACTGTTGAATTCCTTGCCAGTGACTGTGAATGGTTAACGAGCTCGTTTTGTTATCTGATAGTTCTGGGTTCAATCTCCATAGCTATGGGACCATAGATGCGCACAGATGAAGAGTCCCAGACTAGGACGAAAAAGATGTCAAGTACTCCAGTACTGGATTTCAATGCTTCTCTAACTGATGTCAATCAGTGATCGAACTTGAGATCAATCAAATCCCTACAAACCAACACTTGATGTTTACTAATGACTGACTGACTGGCTGACTACAGGACAAAGTTGTCTGAAGTTTTAGCAGGTAGTTGTGACCGCCAGAGCCCACCTGATCTTGTTTTGTGGACAAGTATTCCCCAGTGACGTTGGCCGGCGATAGTGCTGAAAATCACGAGTAATCATAGTGCCATTGATGCTGGGTTGGAAGTTGGTTTCACGTGTGCGTGTGTGTCCATCGGAGGTGAAAAGCGAAACGGCAATATTCAGACTGAAGTTATCATTTCTGTGCACACACACACAGGCACTAATACCAGAAGAAAGACTATCCGAAATGCACTCGAATGGTATAAGGAAGAGCCAAAAGGGACATTCCTACTCGAGGTTAAGGAACTTTGAAAAGTTCACCATAGGCTGAAGCCTGCTCCTATTGGGTGATTTCGCAAGATAAACAGTAGGTGGAAAAATAGAAGAAGTGAGAGTTATATGACAAGCCAACTATCAATTTGTAGAACTCGACAAGCTCAACATTGTCTTAGTAAGGTTCCTCGGAGAGGAAAGAACCAGGTTTACGCCAATGTAAGACTGTAAGATACCTGGCGGTGGGAGCGGATATTTCGTAACGACAGAAGACAAAGGCCAGGCAACAGATTGTTTATTGAGAAAATCAAGAGATATTTATAGATTTTTATGTACATTATTGTCAGCGGAGAAGCAACGTCTCTTCTGATTGCTTGTTTTCTTACTGAAGGTTATTCTGTACTGCTTGTGACCGACCGTTTCTCAGAAAGTTAAGCCATATATGTATATATATCTGCGAAACGTATTTGCACACGTTAAGTCTGCTGTGTGATTGGTTGGTGGAGAGTTCCTCAAGGTTAAGCTTTGTTATTATCTTTTTTCTCATGACCCCGATTCGGGACGTGGACATTGACGCAAATTGTTGTCTACAATTTTCGGCTTGTTGGCAGCCAGCTCTCACCATAGTAGTAGTGATTTGTGCTGGTGATGTCTTATTAGAGAAAGCGAAAAAAGAGAATCCAACATCAAGAATAGAAATAAAATTCACGATTGATTTCAGTTGAAAGATCTGAGAACTTCAAGTACTCCATTATAGATAAAATTTTATTTTGATAAAATCACACCGTAGTGTTATACAGTGAGTAATATTTACTGATGATAACCACGTTTCGAGTACAATTTATTACTGCTCATAATCATCATATCAAGGCATTACTCACACAGCCTTCTTGCTTCGTTTACACACATGAGTACAAGTTGATGATTAGACATTTGAATAAAACCAATCAATATAAGATAAAGTACATTCAGAAATAATAATATTAGTGTTATCAATCAGATGGGAAATAAGATGCTTTTATAGTAAAATATATAAATAACTTGTTAGAATGTTATAATGTGAATTGAATTGAATACATTTTAACGTTATTTATTATCCTTTGATTTGATTGGTAATATTATCTTCTACATCTCTGGTATTTACGTCGAGTCATTTCTGTTGCATGTGTTGGGTGTAGATTCACTCGATGAGCCAGAATTCTGTAATCAATTTCTCTCTCTCTCTCCACCTACTTATATTACTTTTTAGAATTTTAACCTTCTCTAACCACGCTATTGTGTGGTTGTGTGTTGTTGCCTGTAGTGCAATCGCTGAGTTTGTCTTTCTAAATTACTTATCTTCATAGGATCAATCATTCTAACCTTAACTAAATTCTTATGTTCCGACAATCTGACTACCTCTCGCAGCCAGCTCTCACCACGATTTCAGTATGTTTCAAGGAAGGGATATCTAATTTGAAGAAGAAGAAGAAGGCACTACTAACACCAAGAGAGAATGTGTAGCTTGAACTATTTATTGTTTCCCCTAACATTAATTTTTCTTTCTTCCTCTCTTTCTGTGATTACATACAGCCTCGTATTTATGAATTGTTCAGTCAAATTTGGACGTACATCTTTAAACCTTGGCTTAAAAAGGTCCCATGTGTATCCGGTTCAGAAATGGGTTGGCCAGAGTTGAAGGTTAGTTTGTTTCTGTTCGATTTTAGAAATTACTCAAATCACTCACTGTGCCCATGTGATCTGCTTTTATCACCCCATTAATCCAGTAGGCAAGCAATCAAGCATCAATGAATGCCACCATACACTACTTGCTGATCGACAAAGATGAGTAGTTGTGTTGTGTTGTGTTGTGTTGTGTTGTGTTGTATACCACTGATCCGGCGGTTGTGTGAACTGAGTCGAACTCTGTGTGTGTACCGTTAATAAGTTAGGCTATAAATGGGCGAAACGGCGGGTGGCGTACGGTGTTTAGATCACTTCTATTCGGATTGACTGGCTAACTAACTACTCAAATCAATCAATCAGTAGTATATCGTGCGTGTTATACAGTTGTCATTTTTAAAAATATATTTGAATAACGTTTAATTTAAAAAGTTCAGTAATTTTGTGTATATTTCGTACACAAGTGGAATTTATGTAAAGTGGAAAGAGGTAATCGGTGATAAGTCGTTGACGTTGATTGGCGTCTCCACAACCGTGAAGGAAATGATACCCTTCTTCTGAGCCTCGAAAAAACGGAAAATTCAACGAAGCCTTCGAAATGAAGACAGAAGTAGGATAAGGCTGTCCACCTACTATCACCGATGATATTCCTAACTGTGATAGACTGGATCACACAACAGACTGTGGGGATCGATAAGAAAACTCCTGAAAATCTGGAATTCGCAGACGATTTGTGGTCTAATGTCGCATAAACTCGAAGACTAACAGTTGAAAACCAACCAGTTAGTAGAAAAGCTGGCAGCGAAGAGTGGAAGGATTTCAAGGCAGATATAGTGGAAATACTTAACCGACAACAAGCACCAATCACTATCAACGGGTGAAATTTGAACGGGGTCACCACTAGTCCACTTATCCAGTTAGCCTCGTTTCAACTACAAGTAGGTGGTATAGATGAGGATGTGTGAAAGTCAGGATCAAAAAGGCAAGATAGACCTTCATCAATCTGAAATCAATTTGGAAATCTCCTCCACTCAGCATAAAGAACGAAAGGCTTATTTTCAACACCAATGTTAAGTCAGTCAGTTCTTCTATGTGGGTCAGAAACTTGGTGCGTCACGGAAAGCACTTCTGACAGCTGCCTTCACTCTGTACTGAAGAGTAGATGGTCAGGAAGAAAGTAAGAAAGCGACAAAGAACTCTAGGAACGAACCAACCGAGAGTTTATCACCCAATAAATATGCAGTAGGAACTGGAAATGAATCAGAGACACACTGAAAGGACTGTTGAGTGAAATCGTGCACCAGGCAGTGGTGGCGGTGGCGTCGTCGTCCGAGGTTGACATGAAGGAGATGAGAGCTTATGGACAATCGTGGAGCCGGTTAAATAGGACTTCAGAAGACAGAGTCAAGTGGCAATGTGCCGGTGACGGATGATTTAAATTCCCTATTGTTGGTGTTGTCATTATCCTGTGTATGTTTGGCATGCATGCCGTCACTAGTATTATAATTATGATTATTATTAACACTATCACTACTATTATTATTTGTTTTATTTTTACATTTTTCTACATACTTCCTGATTAATTTATCAGGGTGTAATTATTAAGTTTCAAAGCTTCTCTTATATACCTCACTTATATATAAAATAAATGTAGAACAAATAATATTAATAATTGTGACGATATGCATGTCAAACATGCACAGGATAATGACAACACCAACAATAGGGGATTTAAATCATCAGTAGTACTTCTTCCCATACAAAGAAGGAACTTCGGAAACCCTACGGCGGAGAATTATTAACAATGCAGGCAGGAATAAAAGTGGTTGACATTCAAACCACTCACAAACTCAATTAGAAACAAACTTTGTCGGTTGAAAGACCAATCCTGTGAAGCCAATTAAACGAAACAGTTTAGTTTATCTAGTACCCTGCCTGCAATGATCGTCAGGTCAAATACATAGGTGGAAGTAGTAGAACGGGGCAGTCAGTCAGACTAGCGGAGCATAAAAACCTAGCAGCTAAATCTAGATTAGTTGACCCGAATAAGATAAGAAATCTAGAGAACAGTTCAGCTATAGCACTCACTACATGCAGTCACACACAACCAAGCAATATAGGATGGTGGGATAAAATGACAGTTTTCAGATCTTATGTAACAGAGTGGAGGGAGCAGGGTTGATAACGGAAGCTCTATTGATCGAATCAACTGCAAACACGTGTAATAGGAATGATTCAACACCTGTTCAGTGGGACACCTGGAAGTTTGTCCTACCGCCACCTACGATGACAACGAATAGAGGAGAATAAAGAAAACTATAAAACTGAAGTTTCGAAGTCATCTGACTATAATTAATGATATGATTATGAACAGTGATGAATTGTATTCGAAACTTCGTCATCCAGTAAATAATTATACTATTTCACTGTGTGTGTAACATCTAATAAACAAATCAATATGGAATTACATACTACCACACCAAAGTAGTGCCTAACTTGTACACATATATTAACATCATTTCACACTTCCATATTAGTTTGTTTATTAGATGTATCACACTGAGTGAAACAGTATTATTTGCTGGATGACAAGGTTTCGAACACAATCTATTGCTGTTCATAATCATTTCATCAGTTATAATCACATGACTTCGAAACTTGGGTTTGATAATTTCCTTTGTTCCCTCCTATTTATCGTCTTAGGTAGGGGTAGTAGAATTTTCCAGATGTCCGGGTGAGTGGACAGGTGTTGAATCATTTCTATTACACGTATTTGTAGTTGATTCGATAAACAAAGCGTTCGTTATCAATCTCTTCCCCTACCCTGTGACATTAGATTTTAAAACTGTCATCGTATCCCATCCCATTGTTTGGTTGTGTGTGTGACTGCATGTAGTGAGTGCTATAGCTGAACTGTTCTCCAGATTTCTTATCTTATTCGGGTCAACTAATCTAGATTTAGCTGCTAGGTTTTTATGCTCTGCTAGTCTGACTGACTTCACCTGTTCTACTACTTCCACCTATGTATTTGACCTGACGATCATTGCAGGCAGGGTACTAGATAAACTAAACTGTTTCGTTTAATTGGCTTCACAGGATTGGTCTTTCAACCGACAAAGTTTGTTTCTAATTGAGTTTGTGAGTGGTTTGAATGTCAACCACTTTTATTCCTGCCTGCATTGTTAATAATTCTCCGCCGTAGGGTTTCCGAAGTTCCTTCTTTGTATGGGAAGAAGTACTACTGATGATTTAAATCCCCTATTGTTGGTGTTGTCATTATCCTGTGCATGTTTGACATGCATGTCGTCATTAATATTATTATTACTATTATCACTATCACTACCATTATTATTGTAGATTTTATTTTTATATTTCCCTACATACTTTCTGATTAATTTACCAGGGTAATTATCAATTAAGTTTCAAAGCTTCTCCTATATGCCTGACTTCCTGTCTTAAATTTTGCTTGTTAATACTTAGATTTTGTGATCTTATTACTTAAACATTTCACCAAGTGTAGAGGGAGCAGGATTAATACCGTCAGCTTTGTTTATCGAATCAACTGCGAACACGTGTAATAGGAATGAATGATCCAACACCTGTCCACTCACCCGGACATCTGGAAAATTCTACTACCCCTACCTAAGACGATAAATAGGAGAGAACAATGAAAACTATTAAAAAACTGAAGTTTCGAAGTCGTGTGATTATAATTGATGAAATGATTATGAACAGTAATAAATTTTGTTCGAAACTTTGTCATCCCAGTAAATAATACTGTTTCACTGACTATCATACATCTAATAAAGAAACTAATTTGGAATTCAAGTATTGGTTTGTAGGGATTTAGTTGATTGGTAACAGGATTTCATGATGAGCTGACATCAGTTAGAGAACCATTGGTAAACCTGCAGGGAGTACTGGACAACTGTTTCGTCAGCCCAGTTTGGGACTCTTCAGCAGTACGCACCCACCGGGGTTCAAACCCAGGACCTTCTGGTTACAAGGCTAGCGAGCTCGTATACCATTAAGCCACTGAGACCCGATCCAATGGCCCATGAATTCTAACTTCTGCCAATTCACGATATAGCGCAACCGCTAGCCAATGTCTTCGGCGAGTATTTGTCCTCACACCTAACCGGATGGACCCTACTGGTCACTTCCCATTGGAACCCCAGGTAAATACGTACTACCTGAATAGGGCCAGTCGCCAGTGAGCATCTCATTGATATTCAAGTATTGGTTTGTAGGGATTTCGTCCCAAACTAGGACGAAACAGCTGTCCAGTACTCCCTGCAGGTCTACCAATGGTTCTCTAACCAATGTCGGCTCATGATGAAATCCTGTAACTAATTTGGAATTACTTACTACCACAGTAGTGCCCAAGTTTTACACACATATATTAATATGATTTCATACAATATTGCATAACATATTATATACTCGCAGTAATTATTGTCTCTCCTCATTTTCTCCTTTCTTTCTTTCTTGTTTTGTTTTTGTGTTTGTAGTGCCAATTGATTAATGAGTCGCTCCATGATGAATTAGATATCGACGTATCAGTGAATAGTACTGCTAGTAGTAGTAATAATCGTAGGGAAACGGCTTCTACTGCTGCGGCTAACCGTGGTGTCTTATGCTACTTCAATCTACTGTTAATATCACCAAATACGAGTACTACTACTACTACTACTACTAGTACCACTACTTCTAATATTAGTAATAAAAGGAGTGCAGAAGGAGTCAATAATGACAGTCATAATAGTCGTTCTAGTCATAAGAGTACTGATATAGAAACACGCAGAGGCAGTGGAGGACGAGGAGGCGTAGAACGAAGACGAAGCGAAGGAGAAGACAAAGACGAAGAAGCCGCCGTTCAGAAATTGATCAACAGTTCATGTAAACAATTATCTAATGCATTTAGTGATTTATATAAGTATTTCTTTGGTCTGAAATTTATTCAATCATCCAGTAATTGTGATAATAATAGTAGAGAGGAAAATGTCGGTATAGGAGGACTCGATGTCAACCTTGATATTCTTAGTGATGATGGGGATGGGGATGGGGATGGGAATGCAGATGATACAGCTAAACGTGTCATTGACTTACTAATCAACAACAACAACACCATCGATAATGATATCGAAAATAGTCAATCAATTTGTTGTTTATTCAGTCATGAATTAGTCAGTGAATTAATCAATGGACGTTTCAATGTTGATGTATTCTTCACAGACGGTGATGCTGATGATGATGATACAAAATCGACTAATTTTGAGTCAATGTTAGCATCAATTACCGACTCTGTGATACAATTAATTCATGTTGGAATAAGTACAGGATTTCTATCAACAGAGGAACAACTTTCACTGAATAGTACTCAACAACAACAAGAAGTGTCAAGTTCTAATATTGGAGAAGCAAAATTAAGTGTATGGATTAAAAAACTCCCCTTGTTGAAGTATAAACGTAAAGCAAGCTGTATGCTAGAACAACTGCATCAGCTATTAGCTAATCGTGAACTCTTCTATTCAATGTGTCGTCCAGCGAATGAAAGCGTAAAATGTGAGGAGAAGAACAGGGAGCAGGAGGAGAAGGAAGAGGAGGAGGCGAATCCTTCAGATACTGATCATATTAATGCTGGTGACGATGATGATGTTGAATATGATGAAAGTATCTTTGAAGAGGAAGAATTCATTCTCAGTGATGCTGGTGATAAGGATGATAATGATAATAATAATAATAATAATGGTCCACTGGAATCACGATCATTATCGGATTCAAATAACGAGAGTGAATATGAGCATACTATCTCTAGACTACTGAAATCCAAGTGTAATCTACGCGATATCTCAAGATATTTAGATCCTGGACAATTTGATTTTCCTGATTGTATGGTAAGTGTTTCATTTTGCAATATTAATTGGTTACGCATTTGACGCCTTTGACCGTGTGCCTGTACTGAGGTCATCTTTTTGTTAAACAAGCTTGCTGTCTGTCTGTTTTCGACATAGAACTTTGCAAATATGTGCGGCAGTTCAAGTCGCCAAACTCCATGTAGCACACAAAGCAAGAGAAGAAAGTAGAAGAAATGCATAATATAGTCAGTAAACAGAGGTGTGAGACAAAAAAAGTAAGTAGTAATGACGAAGAACAAAACAGTTTCATTGGAAATCATGAGTCACAAGAAGTGGATGCATCTGCGACAGCCACTGAGAACGATAAGTTTGAGCCATGTCACCAATTGTTTCCAACCATTGGTTTTTACCGTCCCGAGGACGCCAACCAGTCAGGAAGTCTACACCTTCCTACGTGGCCTAGACTAACTGTTGTAGATTTCATTGACTGGTGCCATGTTTTGGTTTGACCGCCGCTAGCTCTTTTCCAGTCTGGCCCTATATCAGCTAACATTGCCCGTCGAGGAAGGCGATGACTAGGTATACGTAGCACATGTCCTAACCATCTCAGTCGATGTAATTTCACAGCCTCGTCTATTGATTTCTCCTCCCACCAACCTAGCACTCGACCGATGCCTAACCAGCTCAATATTGCTCACCTTATTAAACCATTTCACACGGGAGATAGAACGCAGACACCTATGATCGAAGACAGCTAATCTTTTCACGTCTTCCACTCTGAATGGCCAGGTCTCACAGCCATAAAGGAGGGCAGAGCAGACTGTTGAGCAGTACACCCGCCCTTTAGTTGATAGGCAGCTGGATATCACGTCTATGACAGAGACGGCGTAAACTGGCATATGCGAACCTAGCCCTCTGTATCCGGGCTGAGATTTCGTCAGAGATCAAACCGTTGGGGCTGATGGTACTTCCTAAGTAAGTGAAGCGGTCAACGTGCTCTACCACTTCACTTCCTATTTCTAATCTAGGAGTCGGTGTAATCCAATCCTGTAACATCATCTTGCATTTGGCGGGAGCGAATCGCATGCCAAACATTCGTAGATTGCAGCTCAAGGTGTTCAGTAGACTCTGCATTTTGTCAGTGTCCTCGCCTAGAAGGACTATGTCGTCCGCATATTCTAAGTCAACGAGATTATTCCCTGAGTCGCTGAAGTGTGTTAGGGTTAAGTCCATTAGTACATCTATGATGAAGTTGAATAGGAATGGGGATAATGGGCATCCTTGACGGACGCCACTAGTCGTCACCACTTCAGATGACAACTCGCCATAAGCCCTCACCTGGCTGCATGAGTTCGAGTAGAGTGCCTTGATCAGTGCAATGTATTTTCTCGGCATTCCCTTTACAGCCAAGCATCGCCAGAGTACCTCTCGGTCTACAGAATCGAATGCCACTTTTAGGTCAAGAAATATAATGATTGTTGGACGCCGGTAGGAATGCCTATGTTCTAGAATCTGTCGGAGGGTGAAGATATGATCAATACAACAAGCTTACTGACGACACAAGCACAGTGTTGGACAACTAATAAAGGTGGGTTGTATTCCATAATTTTTTCTTTTACAATGCAAAGTCCTCCACTGCTTGCACTTCACTTACTGTAGAGTTGATGTTCCTCTTCAAGGAATTGTTGTTCTTTCCTCTTACATGACATATTTGCCGTATTGTCATGAAGTTCATTTTGTTAAGTATGCCGATGATCTGACTGTTGTTTCTCCGCCGGCGAGTTACTTCTCACAGTTAGACTGTTTCAAAATGAATAACTTTTTATCAGAAATTAGTCAGTGGTCCTTGAGGTCAAATGGTCTTAAGTTAAATCCCTCCAAATGTCAGTCGGGGAGGACAATTTCACTTTCTGGCACAAGCATGAATTACGTGGACTGGTTAGTTCGTATGGTTCTACTATCATATATGTCACAGGTGTTGAAACTGAGTCGAATGTCAAATACCTTGAACTGTGTATTTCCTCTGATCATATTTCGTGGTCTTCCCACATCATGTTAGTTTGTAGAAAGGTATTTCGGTTGACGTTCTATGGAAGGAAGTTCAGGCAGTTTGGTATCACCCAATCTGTCGTTAATACTTTTGTAGATAGACACTTGAATTCATGCAAAATTTAGCAAATATTATCTTGTCAGACCTTAAGCATCCTCTCCATTACACAATCCTCTCCTCTCATTTCATTAGGTATGTAGAACTAGAAGCAACTATAGAAGACTGTATGCTCAGATAACTAAGTACAAAAACTCTGCGACACATTGTTTGGCACATATTTTATAATGATGAGAAAAGTGTAAGACAGGACATTACCATCTTACTGTGGAATTCTAAGTAGTCGGCCTTATTTTGTTGTTGTTATACAGTTTTGTTTTTACGAGTTGATTACGGATTGATATCAGTTAGAGAACCATTGAAAACCAGCACTGGAGTACTAGACAGCTGTTTTATCCTAGTTTGGGAATTATCGGCAGTTCGCACCCACTGGGGTTCAATCCCAGGACTTTCCGGTTACAAGACAAGCTAGCTCGTATACTGTTCAGTCACTGCGACCCGATTCAATGGCCACCGCATGAATTCTAACTTCTATCAATTCGTGATTTAGTGCGACCACCAACCAGTGTCATTGGTAGGACATCCATCCTCATACTTGACTGGATAGACCTCACTGGTCAGGACTTCTCACTAGAACTCCAGGAAACTCTGCCCTGTAGCAAGTCGCTAGCGAGCATCAGATTAATTTTCTATAGTTGGTCCGTGATCAGCTCGTAAAAACATAACTAGTCCTTACAAACCAACAATAGAAAAATGTTATACAGTTGTTAATATTTTCACTTAATTCAATCAATCCAAATGCTCTGTTTTAATTATTACCCCCATATTGAGGAAATTAGATATATTACTATGCTGTACTATGTGCTGTAAATTTGTACGGAAAAAACTATTCGAAATAAAGCTATTATTATTATTATCATCATGAGTTAGAGTGATCATTGGAAATCAGCAGGCGCTGGATAGGGTTATTTCGTCCTACACTAGGATTCATCAATCAATAGTCCACACTCAAAACACCCTATCGCGGATCGAATTTGGAACATTGAGGTTAAGAGGCCAGCTTGTTGACCAGTCAGCTGTTTGACTGGGGGAGGAGGGGGACTATAATGATCCATCAATTTTAACTTCTGCGTAATCGTGGTTTCCTTTTCAATAAGTTCCTCATCATAGGCTCTACTCTAATATATAGTTGTGTTTTTTTACACTCAAGGTTGTGTTGATCATGCGGTTGTTTTCGTCCATAAGAGTCATCAGTTTTAGGTGAAGGGGGGAGTTGAAATTAAGAGGTTAAATGTTATCAAAACAATTCACTAGTAGATGTTACCAACAAGATATCTAACTTTCGAATGAGGGAGGGGTGTGTGGTTAGTAACAAGTTATTATATAATGCAGAAATTTTTTAAATATGGATGACCAAGAAGAACACGTTAATTGAATTACCTAGCATTGTAATCCATAATAAAATATCAAAGTCAAAAGATGGTTACGAGAGGAGAGGGAAAATCGTATGTAAAACTTTATATATATATATATATATATATATATATATATTATGTAGTTGGCCAAAGTTTGCCCAGAATGCGGCTGTACACATACTTCTTTTAAACACTCACAGATTTGGCTTGTTCAGATGAATTCTGATTGTCTCTGCTGTATGTAAAAGTCATATCCGTGGAGGATGAGACGAGAGGTGGGGTGAAATATGATAAATAGCTATAAAAGCCTTGTTAGAGTGAACTTGATGTTGAAACCAGTCAGTCAGTCACACATTGATGAAATGAGCTAGTATTAAGCTGAGTATAGCTTTATACGAACTTTTGCCAAATTAAGATAGGATGTATTCAAAAATGTGACGATGACGCCCAATGTAATTAGCTCCTCATGAGCAGTTAAACTGGTAAATACACATAGAAGAGGCGAAACAGACCAGTTTTTTCTTCATTTCTTGAACTGACTATTGATTGGCTAGTGGGAATAAACAGCGCATAATAAGGTGAGTAATATTGAGTTGGTCAGGAGTCGAGTGTTACTGGGTACGGAGGGAAAGTCAGTCGACGCGGTTGTGAAATTACATCGTTTGAGATGGTTAGGATTTGTGTGACTCATGCACGACTAACCACCCATCGCCTTCCTCGACAACCAGCGATGTTAGCTGACACAGGACGAATCAGGTTGTCGGAAAACAGCTGGTGGTTGATGGTCAAACTAAGATATCGCTTCATTAGGCAGTGCAACCCATAGCAGTTAGTTTAAGCCAGCCAACCAGTCAGCCAGCCACGTAGGGAGGTGTAGACTTCCTAACTGGTTGGTTGGGGTCCTCGGGATGGTAAGTAGCAATGTAGATTGGAGACAGTTATCGGTGATATGGCTCAGAACCCTCGTTCTCAATGATGGCACAGATAATATCCACTCTTTGTGATTTCTCATATCATCCAATGAAACTCTATTGTTCTTCGACCATATTACTACTATTCTTTTCCCCTCACTCACACTTGTGTTTATTATCTCTCTGTCTTTTGAATCTCTCTTTACTCAGTTCTCTTGCTTTGTGTGGTACATGAAGGGAGAGTGGTAAGTTGAAGTGCTGCACATCTTTGCAAAGTTCTGAGTTGAAACCACTCAGTCAATCAGTCAGTCAATATCCACTTAACTGTCATGTTCATCCGTTTCGGTATTCTTCTTCCTTCACATTTGTGTTTATCATAGTCCTTTTGAATCACTTTTTCTCTGTGTGTACGTGTTTTTTGTATTTTGTTTATATTCACCGATTCCTTAGGTTTTATCTTAGAATGCAAAATGCTGGCGAGTTTGCTCGTGGCTTGATTGACACTGTCTTTCACCAGGTAATCTCTTGGCAACAGTCCGAAGCACGGACCTCGAATTCAATTCATCTACGCAATTAAGAGACACGAGAGTATTTCTATATACCATTAAACTGTCCAAGAACTCTGCGAGTTCCTCTGAATTATCGTTTAACTGTGATTCATTACCTTTCACGGTTTCAAAAACGTTATGGGATATCATAAATGGTTTCCCAAACCTTTGACGTAGTATCCTCATTGCCTCAGCGTATCCTTCGTTCGGGGACATAAACTTGCAGTACTGTATGGCTCTTGCAACCACACCAATGCAATACCTCAACAAATACATTAACTTCATTTCATCATTTAATACAAAACCACTCAGCTTGACCTCAAACTCTTTGATAAACTGCGGGTAGTCGGCTGGGTTTCCATCAAAGTATCGAGGTTCAAACTTAGGTAATCGTAAGCCCTTACTATCACTAAACGGCGAAGTGTGAACATCAAACTCATCATGCTGAGCATCATACATATCATTACAATTAACAGGCAACTCATTGTTATTTACTTTTTTGTATGCTTCCATGATGCCACGTCCTTTCCTTGACCCAGGCATTATCCAACGTCACCAAAGGATCCAAATTGCGTTGATAATCCGTGTCCGAAGAGAAGCTGGCTGCAGATCAAGTAATAACATACTTTAATGTTTAAGTGGCAGAGGAAAAGAAATACTATATATAAAACTGACGCATCCAAAATGTAAGCGTCACAGTTTTTTTTAGTTTAAGTTTTCATCATCAATTCAAAGGAGATGCAGTGTCACAAAAGATTGACAAAAGAATGAAAGGTGCAATAGAACGAAGCTTCCCTGCAGCTAAACTCATAACATTATACAGCATCACTTCTTCTATAAACCAATCAAAACTGGATAAATACCTTGCTGATGTCACTTCCAACTGCGTTTATGAATTTACGTGCACCTGCAGCAGCAAGTACATTGGAAGGACGGAAAGAAGGGTTTCTATCCGTTTTTCTGAACATATTCCAAGAAACTTGTGACTGAAAGGAAGCAAATATTCGCAGAGTGCAATTATCAGACATATTGTTGATACCGGACATCTCGTAGAGATTTCCAAGTCCTTCAAAATATGAAATAGACAAAAGACAGCAAATTTACTAAGATTTGCCGAAGCGATCTCAGTCAACCGATTCAAACCAACCAGACTTATGCATGCAGAAAGAGAGTGTGATTAATCTCTCACTCCCTTGCTAACTGAATTCGATTTTCATTACATTCGTGAGTCATCTAATTCAGTGATCTCAACTCTTTAAACAAATTTCAATCTTATAAACTGTAACCGCTTTTGTTTTTTGAGTTGCTATGATTTGATTTTTTTTTAATTTTGATTATAGCTTGAAACCACACAGTTCTTTTGGTACAAGTATGGAATTTTCAGCGTGTGATACCGATAACCCAAATTTCGCAGGCCGACCATAGATGATATCAGGTGTGCGTCGGCAGGGGATCGAACCCCGGACCATGTGCATGGTCGGCGAGAGTCCTAACCGCTGTGCCACCTACAGGCTAACACTTTGTTTGTTAATTTTTTCTGTTTTCCGTCTTACCCCTCTCCCCTCTTTTCTACTTTGAAAGCGAATAAATTGATGATGAAAGTTTGAACTAAAACAATTGTAATGCCGCCTACATTTCGGATGCGTCAGTGCTATAGTATTTCTTCTCTACTACCACTTAAACATTAAAGTATGTTATTATCATCTTTATATGTAACTATTGTAATTTCAGATAGTCTATGGCAGCTGATGAGAACCTATGAAATAGAATGATGCTATCACATTTTATGCTGCAAATCTGGTCTTTTTTTCTCTATGGAAATTTATCAAGGGAACCAAATGTATGAAATTTTCCTTTTTGTCTTTTGTTTTTTCTTCCTTTCTATCAAAGGTGTCGGAAACTGTCCTCCTAATGATGAAACAAGTCTATGACATTCTCAATAATAGTTTTACCTACCTTGTAACCTTAGTGAATGAAGTGAATCAATCGACAGCAAATAATGTGCTGGATTTAAATACAAAGAAAACTATCACAATAAGTTTTGTTGAATTTATAATTAAATTAATTCCTCGGATATTTATGCTATTCACCTCACTGATACCTAGTTTACATGCACAGACGGGTTTACGATTTGCTGGTAAGTAGTGGTGATATTATGTATATGCACTAAATTGTTAATGTTACTGTTAATATTTATTACTCCCTTGGGTTCTGAGTGGGATATAGGGCTTCAACTCTGTCCCCTGTCTCCGCTTCTCATAATTGCTTGCCCATATAAGCTCTCATTTGTTTTTCTCACACGATCTACTCCATCTCATATGGGTTGACTCTGAGGACTTGACACGCGATGTGTCACCAACCGTCTCCTCAGTGTGTATCTCGTCCAATCTCCATTTTCTCCGGCATATCTGACACTTTGATTTGTGGAATGCTGGCGTTATTATTATTCATCCAGTCGAAGATATCTGACCGTTTCACTGGTTTCTGTAAAATCTATTGATGTTATTGTCGGCGTTATTCGTAGGAATTATGTAATGTTATATGCAAGTAAATATGGCTGGCTGGCTGGCTGGCTGGATTCAACATAGAACTTGACACCGAAGTGCAGCAGTTCGAGTTGCCACGTTCCAAATAGCACACAAAGGTAGACAAGAAAATCAGTGAAGAGAATCAATCGAGTTTTGACAAGCATAAGAGTGAAACAGAATGAGTAATGGTAGAAAGGAATATGAAAGATCACAGAGACTGAATACATCTGCGTAAGCCATTGACAACGATTTTGAGCCATGTCCACCTATTGTCTCCAGCCATTGATTCTTAGAGTCCCGAGGGCCCCAACCCGGAAGTCTGCATCTCCCTACCTGACTCAGTTTAACTGTCAAGGATTTCATGGATTGATGCCATGTTTTGTTTGGCCACCGCTTACTCTTTTCCAACCTGCACCTATATCAGCTAGTAATGCCCGTCGTGGGAGACGATGGTTAGGCATGCGCAGCACGTGACCTGGCCATCTGAATCTATGTAACTTTATAGCCTCGTTGATTGATTTTCCCTCCTTGCCCAACACTCTACGCCTAACGTCAACATTACTTACCTTATTATGCCACCTAACGTGAGAAAGAGATCGTAGACATCTATGATCAAAAACAGTCAACCTTTTCATGTCTTCAACTCGTATTGGCCATGTTTCAGAGCCATAGTGAAGGACGGAGAGAACTGCTGAGCAGTACACACGTCCCTTGGTTGATAGTCGGATGTTACGCCTACGCCAGAGATGGTGTAAGTTAGCGAAAGCAGCCCGAGCTTTTTGGATCCGTGCTGAGATTTCGTCACCAATCAATCCGTTGGTGCTGATACAACTTCCCAAATAGGTGAAGTGGTCAACATGTTCTATCACTTCACTCCCTGTCACGAAGCTAGGGGTAGACGTAGTCCCTGGTAAATATGGCTTAAGCATTGTGGGATAAGTGAAGCTATCTATCAAGATTATGCCAGTAACCGGTAGAGATAGGTTTAGTTAAGTGTCTATATAATCGGGCCAAGAGCTTTACTAACTAGTCAGACAGAAGATTTAAGTAATTAAGTCAGATAAATAAAGGAAGTATTACTAGGGAATCACTGACTACCCACCAGAATTTATTCAGAAATATATGAAGCACCATAGAAGAATTCGGACTAGCAATAAAAGTGACGAAGATAACGAGAATAATATGGAGTTCAAAGTCTCTGTAGTGCTGCCGTATGAAAAAGGAACGTTAGAGGCTTTACGTTTTGGATTTTCAGTGAGTCTGGAATTACAGTGGCATTTTAAATCAACTGACCAACCAACCAGCTAACTCTCTCAGAGATAAACTTTGTCAGTTAAAGGACCCAATAGATCCAATTAAAAAAATAATATAATTTACCAAATATCATGTAATGCTGACTGTGTGGTCAGTTGGGTAGATCGAACTAGTAGATCAGGATCAGTTAGATTATTGGAACATAAAAATTTAGTCACCTAGACACCTACAGAGCTCAGCCATCACACTGCAGTGCATTCACTTAGATGCAATCACAAAATAGGGTGGGTGGGACAGGGTGAGAGTATGAAAACGTAATATAGTTAGGTGGAGCGAGAGAGATGGAGGTTAATTACTGAAACTTTGTTTATCGATTCAACGCCGCACACATGCTATCGGAGTGACGCAACAAACAACAAAAGGAAGTTGGAGAGACAGAATGAGAGAAAATATGTAAGACAAATTGTGAAAACGTCTGACTAAAATTGATATGATTATGAGCAGCAGTAAATTGTGCTCGAAACGTTATCCAGTTGTTAAAACCGCATCATCGCTGTGTGATATTTAATTTTAATTTGTCTTATATGAGGATTATGCATTATTGAAGTAGACATAAAGTCCAGCCAGCCAAGAGACTCTTTTCAAGGTAATTTCTTATCAAGCCGTACAATCGTATATATATATATATATATATATATATATACAGCTTGATAGTAGATTCACTGAAAAGAGTCTCTTGGCTGAATATTGTGTTCTTTATGTTACAAATTATTGAAATAGATATATATTACAAATGTCTTCTAGCTGGTTCATTGTCTTCTCTTTCCGGTGAATGCATCGTAGAGGAAGTGTAGGTATTATTATTCCCTACTAACTGTAGTAGGGGAGTAAGAAGATGGTGATTGTGGGTAAAGGAGAATGATGCTCAGCGGAGGGGCTTCGTGTGCTCTTGGAAGTGTATGTGGGCACTGGTTACCTCCCGGTTGCCCACAACATGGAAGTTGATTTATTATTGCAGAACCTGAAACAGAAAGAGAATTGATGTTACATAATCGTAGAGTCAAGGTGACAACTGCTTGAGGCCGGTCACACACGGACTGGCTTTTAGGTTTGATTCCATACTAATAACTTACCGCGGGCTACGGACCACCGTATGGTAAGTCGGGATTACAGTTTTTGGGTTCAACCTTTTCTAACCTCACCTGCCCTCCACGTGTCTGCGTTCTATCTCCGACGTGAAGTGGTATAATAGGGTGAGCAATACTGAGGTTAGGTGTCGAGTGCTAGGTAAGGAAGGGTAATCAATCCACAAGATTGTGAAGTGACATCGACTGAGATGGTTAGGACATGTGTTACGTATGCCTAGTCATCGCCTTCCTCGACGGGCAATGTTAGGTGACGTAGGGTCAGGTTAAACCAAAACATGGCGGCATCAGTCAATGAAATCCACAACAGTTAGTTTAAGCCAGTCAAGTAGGAAGGTGTAGACTTGGTGATATGGCTCAAAACCGTTCTCAATGGTGGCGCAGATGCATCCACTTCTTGTGACTCATGATTTCCAATTAAACTGTTTTATTCTTCGTCATTACTACTTACTTTTTTTGTCTCACACCTCTGTTTACTGACTATATTATGCATTTCTTCTACTTTCTTCTCTTGCTTTGTGTGCTACATGGAGTTTGGCGACTTGAACTGCCGCACATATTTGCAAAGTTCTATGTCGAAAACCGACCGACCGACCAGATTACGATGGGATTGAGTGGTATATGCACCTTAGTTGGTCACCGTCCAGCATGGGAAGGCAAATTCTGATGCTTTTCCACTGCTTTGTGGATCAGAATTGGAGTCAAAGGTTCGGCTTGGGTCGTTCCTTATGATAACCATCTTTTTCGGCCTCGTTGTTCGGGCAGTAATATCCCATTCCTCGCGCAAACTATGAGATCTCATGTGACCTATTTTCTTGTTCGCATAATGTAACAAGTTTGAGGTTTAACAAAAAAGAAATACAACATTGATGGATGGAACAATAGGGTATCCCAGCGATTGAAGAGCAGTTCACCAACTTTTTTACTGACTAATTTGAACAGACAGTCATTTTATAATATATTGTGTGAATAAATGAATGTTCAGGTATTTGTTTGTAGAGATTTTGTTTGATTGGTTGGAGGATTTCATCATAAGCTGACATCAGTTAGAGAACCATTGGAAAACCAGCCAAGAGTACTGGACAGCTGTTTCGTCCTAGTTTGCGTTTCTTCATCAGTACATACCCACCATCAAAGTTCGAACCCAGGACCTCCTGGTCACTAGTACGAAACAGCTGACTGACTGCCCAGTACTCTCAGGTTTTCCAATGGTTCTCCAACTGCTGTCAGCTCATGATGAAATCCTCTAACAAATCAAACATAATCCCTACAAACCAATACCTGAAAATTGATGTGATGCTGCCTGGTGACTGGCCATATTCAGACAGTTAACCTTGGCTGGTTCTATTGGGAAGCCGTGATCAGTAGGCTACAGAAGGCCAAAGATAAGGACAGTTACTCATAGAAGATATTGCTCAGTGGTCGTGCTATATATCGTGAATCGGCAGAAGTTAGAATTCATGGGTTGGTCATTGGCTCGAGTCCCAGCGGCTGATGAATGGTCTGCGAGCTCGCAAGCCTAGTAACCGGAAGGCCCTGGGTTCGAACCCTGGCGGTAGATGCGTACTGATGAAGGGTCGCAAAATAGACTGCGGAAACAGCTGGCTGTCCAGTACTCCGAGGTTTTCCAATGGTTTTCTGACTGATGTCAGGTCATGTTGAAATTCTCCAGTGAATAAAGGAATGATCTTTGTTATATCTAAATTATTATCATAGATTGCTATCATTTTTTCGTTATTACCTGCAGTGCACTGTAAGTACCCATGACCCCAGCAGGCAGCGAACCCCAAGAACTTCAGGTAACAAGGCCATCTCCAGTTGACTACGCTACTTAGCCAACAGAAGGTAGAATTCTCGGGTCAAGAAGTAGTCAACTGGCTATTCTGATAACCTGAAGGTTCAGGGGTTCGGCTGCTGGCGGTGTCATGTTCTAAACCAGGATACAGCTTATGTCGAGGGTTCTCTGCTTTTGCGTGCTAGTGGTAGTAATGTGTGAAGTCCACCTTGCAGCAACATATACAAGTAACGGATGTATACCTAAGATATGTTGATGACATTTTTATTGTCTGTGGAAGCAGATCAAAAGCCGAAGACATGTTGGTAAAATTCAACTCATGCCATTCAAATCTCAATTTCACAGTAGAACACGAGGAAAACGATACTATTAAATTTCTAGACTTTTTTTCTGGCGAAAATGAATGATGGTACAATCGAAAGATCTATATTTAGAAAGTCTTCATGGACAGGACAGTACATGCATTTCAAGAGCTTTGTTCCAACCCAGTATAAAAAGAACTTAGTCAGAACACTGTTCAATAGAGCACGAAAAATTTGTTCTGACAGTACTGTTGAGCATGAAATAAAATCTCTGAAGGATATCTTATCTAAGAATGGATATCCTGAAAAGTTCATTAATAAATACTCTAAAGAAAATAGCCCCTGCAAAACAATCCGAACAGTTCCGAATAAACCTGTCTATATCAGTCTGCCGTTCAAAGGAGATGATGTACAGGAAGTAGTCAAACGAAGACTCGACAAAGCCATCAAGAGAATTTATTATGCTGCAAAACTTGTTTTCCTTAACACCACTAAGCGAGTGCTTCATCAATCTGGGAAAGACCAGTCGCCAATCCTCGACACTTCAAACTGCGTATATCAATTTGAGTGTGTTTGTGGAAGCGAATACATAGGTCGTACGGAAAGGAGATTGTCTACTCGCATGATGGAGCATTTGCCAAAATGGTTGAAAACAGCTGAGTGCAAAGTGCCAAAATCCTCACTGTGATCTAGAAATGGTGTGATTTTGTTGGGGTTTTTATATTTTCCTATTAATTATCAATATTTTTAATATTTCATACATTTATATAATTATAAAAAGAGCTAAACCAATGCAATATGTAAAATGAAACGCTGAAAATTCCATGCTGTAAATTGTTATTGTTGTGGAATGAAGTGATTATTATTATTATTACTATAATAACAAAACATCTTGTGGATTACGGACATAATATCGACGCTTTCAAGTTGTTCACTATTACCAGTCAGCAGACAAAGAAACAAGAAGATGCTTGCAATTGCAGAGGCTTGTGCAATTCGAGTTTATAAACCAGGTCTCTGTGTACAAAAGGAGATGATCGTGACTCTGAATCTACCATGGTAATACGTTTTACTTGTAATTCTACCTGTTATTATTATTATTATTCTTGATTCATTTAAAACTATCCTTTATCAGTAGGATTATGTTAACTCACTTCAACACTGTTATTATTATTATTGTTATTATAACTATTACTATTGATATTACTCTGTTTGCAATTCTTGTTAAATTCTCTAATGTATAGTTGTTTATCTAAATGGTGTAATTGAAGCGTAATGCAATTTATCTTAATTTTGATCTCCCATATTCTCTCTCCTCTTATCTAATTGAACATGACCTGGAAAAAACATTCGCACATGTCTTTCTGCATGACTAATTCAATGTAGTTTGTTTACTTATCAGTTTTATATCTCCCAATGTAATTTCAAAAGTGTATTATATATATCCGTGTATGTAGAGTATTCAGCTGACGATATAAGTATAAAACTTGGCCACTGTGGTAGAGTATAACTCCATAATGGATAAGATTTTATTTCGATAAATCACACAGTGTTGTACAGTTATATTAACTGATGACATTTCGAGCACAAACTACTGCTCATAATCATATCAAGTTCACAAACCATCGGATTTTCAACAGTCAATGTTTAAAAAATCATATAACTGCAAAATATTTACACATACGCACTCCAATTACTTCAAGAAAAATATCCTCAGCAGCTCAACATCTCAGTAGATTATGTCTAAGAGAAGAACTACATCGAATTACTGTGAAACTAAATAATATACGAAATGAAATCGAAAAACTCAAACAGAAACTCAAATGTATGGTCAATGACAAAGATTATGTAATTGTTGTTGAAACATCCGAAAAAGCTAGAGAATCAGCATTAAGAAAATCAAAAACCACACAAATCAAAAAATTCAACAAACTAACTGAAGAAAAGAACACAGCAAATAAAATTGATGTCAACGCTTCATCCTCTATGAACAGAACGAAGTGGGTGATCAACCTCTCATCAAGGTAACTAAGCTCTAGTGAGATAAAAGTACTTGAGAAAGGACTAAATTTCAATATAACAGTTAATAAATTAAAACCAGAGGATGTCATTCCTAACATAGAAGTAGCACTAGGTTCAATAGATAAGACAACAGCAGAAGGGGTTCGAGCACAATGTGCATTAACCCTGAAAAATCAAAAGAAGGCAAAATCAACTTGATATGATTATGAGTGGCAATAATTTATGCTCGAAACGTCATCAGTTGATATAACTGTGCAACACTGTGTGATTTATCAAAATAAAATCTTATCCATTATGGAGTTATTCAGCTGAGGAGGAGTTCTACCGAAATTTGATGAATTCATTAAATCATCCTGCTTTATTAACCTTTATTGCTTGTTTTAAAATCACATTGAAAGCACTGATAATTCTCCTCCCTCTCTCTCTCTCTGTCTCTATACTTCTTTTACTTTTCAGTTCTGTACTACAATGATTGTATGTATTTAGCTCATGAATGTTTATCCCTGGGTGAACGTGGCCCGTACAAATTTATTGGAGACTTTTTCGATTTAGACTATGAAACAGTAGCCAGTGCTAATGATATTGTTTTTGATGAAGATATTCTGGAGAGATTAGCTGCAATGGGTACTTGTGGTCTGGTACCACATTTACATCAATCTGGTGTCAAAAGCTTATCGTATCATTTAAGACGTGAACGACAACATCTCCTACGATGCATTGAAAGGATACAAGGATTTCGTGTAGGTGCCTGTTTTGTTTATTTCTATTTTAATAGTTTGTTTGTCTGTTTGTTCGTGTTTGTGTGTGTGTGTGTGTTTGTGTGATATTACTTTGCTTGTATTCAGCGTGTTCTTCAGTTGAAAGCGTCTTCATATTCACTCTATTTTAATGCGTGCCCAGCCTTGAGAGAGGGGCTCAACACCTTGGAAAACAGTTTTCAGTTAGGTGTTTCGGTAGCATCACTTGCCCTTATGTTGGGTGTCGTAGTGTGTGTTACAGGGTATTTGACGTATATCTGTAAATCTGACTTAATTCAAGCGTTGGTTTGCAGGGATATGACTGGTTACACGTTTCATACATTTATTCCCCTTAATGAATTTGAACAAAGAAAGAACTACAGTTTTAGCAGAATAAAATGGTACCATCACTGTTTATTTCGTTGCCGTCTCGTCAGCTACTTACAGGGCGAAGTCATTATTAAATGTATCTACAAAAACAATTTTAACATACTTGCACAGATTTCATTTTAAACAAAAATCAATCGATCAACATACGCATACACTAATATATATATATATATATGCAATATTAAATACTATTCCGAACAATAATAATCATGCACAATGGAAACTTTTCAGCATTCCTCATTCGGATGAAAAAGAGATGAAAAATATTTAGTTGCCAGGGCAAAGAAAGACTGCTAACCGCTTCTTTCTGGACGCGTAAATCAGATTTTCCATACTTTTTGATGAACCTTTGAGGGTACCCATTGCTCTTCAATATCTTTGCTCTTTGATGACTAACTGGTATCAGTTAAAGAAACACTGGAAACCAGCAGGGAAAACTGGACAGCTGTTGTTTCGTCCTTGTTGTGGAACGCACTTGCCGGGATTCGAAACCAGGAACTTTCTCTAACAGGGAGAGTTTGTAGACCATTCAGCCCCTAGGGGGTACCTGGTCAAGTGTACTGTGGACTCCAAATTCTACGAATTTAAGAACTTGGTTTTGAAACCCAACAGCTGTGCGTGCTGCTAAAGAGTCATGGACTGAGACGGAATGGCTGTCCAGTACTCCCTGAGAGTTTTCCAGTGGTTCTCTAACTGACATTAGCACTTGATGATAATACCTGTAACCTAATTCAGTTCTCTGAAGTGAGTCATACCTGGGTACACCACCGATGGGCTTCGTCTCAAACAAGGTAGATGGCTATCTGGGGTTTAGGTCCCTACGAGCCTGGCTAGAAGGCACTACTGTTTGATGTGAGTGGTTTCTAACCACTGAGATGATTCAATCAGTAGTATGTAGCTGTACATTTCTTCTCGTAAAAATCCGGTACGAAAATTGTAATCCAACTTTCGATTTGAATGAATAAACACACACACACACACACACTGTCACTACACGATCGCATAGTCAGTATTAAACTAAGGGCGTGTTCAGAATAAAGGGATTAGAATAAACAAATGTTCAACAGAAAGTGGAACATAACTGAAGCACGTACAGCAAGTATTTTTCAACTATAGATCAAATAAAATAGGAATACCTTAAGTAAGATGAATGTCAATAGAAAGCAATAATTACGGTTACATAGTGACAATATAATAAACAAAATATAAACTCTTTCTACTTACTAATAAAAATAAGTAGTATAAATAATAAACGCAAAAGAAATTGTAACAAAGAATAGATAAGGAAGAAGTTAACACTGTGTTATGCATTTACGCCTGCTCACTCTGTAACAATTTATTTTGTATGCCATGTTAGCGCCTTCGCGAACGAATGAATGAATGTTAGGGTTGGTTCCATCAGAATAATGACAATAATAGATTATGGAATTTGTGGGAATTTTGATTGATTTGATTTCAGTTATTAGCTTTTGTCATGAATGCTAATTAGCATCAGTTGGGAGTAGTGGATTTTTGTCTCCTTCTAGCTTGAAACTCTTGCTTGAGCAGTGCTCACTGACAACGCCATCAGGGAGCGAACACACTAGGCACATAAAGGTTACGACGCCAAGCTTGATTGTTCATCAAGCCAATTGGAGCCAGAACTCCTCAGCGATCTGCAAGTTCTAAATTTCTCAATCCGTAATACAACACACTACCCTCACTATTCAGTACGATAAGCAATCTACTCTATTTCAACATGGTGGACCAGTAGTGCTCTTTAACTTCTCATAAATGTAATCATTGAAGTACCAACGAAGGCTGGAAACAATTATTGACGATATGGCTCAAAATCATTCTCAATGGCTGTCGCAGATGCATCCACTCTTTGTGACTTATGATACCCAATAAAACTTTATTGTTCTTCGATATTACTATTGTTTTTGCCTCATATCACTGTTTACTGTCTCTATTTTGCATTTACTTTTACTTTCTTCTTCCTTGGCTTTATGTGCTACATGGAAGGAGTGTGGTGACTCGAACTACTGCACACCGGTGCAAAGTTCTAACTATGTTGAAACCAGTTAGTCAGTCAGTCAGTCAGTCAGACGTAAACATTGACGTAAATTGTTGTCTACAATTTTGACTTGTTCTCAGCCAGCTCTCACTACAAGTTGACCCCACGTATAATGTGAGTGTTGACCTCTGATGTTTGGATGTATGGGACATTCCTGCAAAATGTGAGTGATAATAATGGAATCTTAATAATTATAATAATAATAGTCATACTATGTAGGTGATTTGATTGATACCGCATATCGGTATATATCATAATCGTGTATGGAAACACGTATTCGTGTCTATTTTGTGCATTCTCATGTTCTAACCGATTTTTAACCCAGCTAAATTAATATCTTGTATTGTATTCCTTCATTTGCACCCTATAGGAAGTGTATGTTTGATGAAATTGCAGTTATTATTATTATTATTATTATTATTATTATAGTTTGTTCGGTGTACTTTACTAACTGTAGAGTCATAGCAAAGCATTGTGTAGAGTCGAAAGTTCGAGAGAGAGAGAGAGGGGGGAGTGAAGAGAAATAATCGTCGAAAACTATGCATGAGATGACCTTCAACATTTAGTAAACATGTAAACAAGTATATATGCCACTCCCGCTACTACCACTACTACTAGCACTATCATGCTGTTTGTTTTTGTTTACGTGAAACTAATTCATATGCGACTTACTGGCTGACCGACTGACTGCTTTGACATCTAGACGAGTTTGTTTGTTTGTTAGTTTTAGTGCAGCTTACCTTTGTAAATTTATCTGGTGGATTTTATAATAAAATAATAAAAAAAAACTTATTTACGGCTCTTTTTGTTGTTGTTGTTGTAAAGTTTGAAGTTTTAGTAACTATGGTATTGTGAGGTGTTTGCCTGTCTCTCTCATGCCATGCCTAGCCATCTCTCTCTTGTATCTAGACCACTTAATACCGACTGGTATATTCGATGATGAGGTTTAGGCGGTATACTTCGATCGGGAGTGGAAGTCGGACAACCTGTGTATGTGTGTGTGTCTGATGAGTATTCTACTGTAGAACCTCCGATCGACCGAGCGATCGGCCAAGCTACACCACAATCCTCAAGTCATTGGACATATTAATGAATAAATTGTTAGGTGTTATTTACAGTTCGATCACGGATTTAGATCAGTGAAGGGAACATTAAAAACCAGGGACTATTGGACTGTTCCGTTCTAGTTTGGAATTATCTGGCATTACGCCCACACCTGACCCTGCACCAAGGATTGAACCCAGAATCTTCAGGTTACTGGACTGGACGATCAAGTTGCATCCATTCAAAGCCAATTCGACGGAACGCAGTGGCCCAAGAATTCTAGTACCACTGCCAACCGATGTCATTGGAGAGTATTTGTCGTCATATCCGACCCGGTGAACCCTACTGTTCATCACTTCTTGCTGGAACTTCAAGTTACTTCGTCGTGTTGTTAGTTACCCTAATGGGGGTCATGTGTGCGTATTGCTGAAGAGTTTCAAACTAGGGTGAAACAGGGGTGTGGGATCCACAACCTTTAGGTTACTAAGTGAGCTCGTCGTTCATTCAGCTATTGGATCAGAATCCATTCAATCGCCAACCAATTTGCACTGCATATCGTGAATAGCAGAAGTTAAAGTTGTTGGGTCATTGAATCTTGTCACTGTGTGACTGAATGATGATAAAGGTCTTAGGTCCGAAACGCGATGGTGTTGTCATGTGCGTGCATACTACTCTCAGGAGTTCCAAAATAGGGCAAATCGGTTAGTTGCATAGTATTCCTCAAGTAGTTTTCAATGATCATACTTTGAACCACAAAATAAACCTCTATAGACTTACACTTTAAATTAGTTGTCATTTGCATAAAGCAAGAACAACAGTGGCAGCTCGTGCAGAATAAAATGGTTCCATCATAGTTTATTTCGTTGAATTCTCATCAGCTACTTACAGCCTGAATATATTATTAAGTTTATGTACAGAAATAATTTTAGCATATATACGCAGAGAGTTCATTTTTAAAATGAATATATGCATACAATGCTGATAATAATAATAATAATAATAATAATAATCACTTTATCTTAAACAATAATAATCATACAAAATGGAAACTCTCGGCGTTACGTGAAAGAAAGGATGAAAACATCCAGTTACCAGGATAAGAAATGAGAGACTGATAACCGCTTCTTTCTGAAAGCATAAATCGGATTTCAGGCGTTTGATGGAGATTACTTTGGCAAACTTAAGAAAAATTGAACTCTCTTGCCTATTGATAATTTTGAACAATCTTGCGACGTCCACTTGATGACCCGTGCCTGACGATGACACTTTTGAAAGCATTTGTTCCCTTGAGACTTAGAATTTTTTGGTACATTTTTTCAGAAAATCGGAGGTACGCCCATCATTCTGTTCTCCCAATGTAACTGCTCTCGTAGATACGTGTAAATTTGTATATAGAGTTGGATTTGTTAACATGAGACCTTTGATTACATCAAAGAGAACGTTGTTCAATAGACGGAAACCAACTTAACTGCAGGATGATAGGCTTTGGTTAGTGACTTACTCCATCTTTTGTTGACTATTGCTGTAATATTTTCACCTTTAAATGTCATTTGTTAAAGTGACTTTAAATTTTCCATTGATTGATTATGCATATTGAAAAGAAACACTCGATATCTACTTGACATATCAGCTGCCTTAAGATGAACACTGATGGATGTGGCTATTAGAATTAGAATTAGAATCCAATTTGCACTTTCCTACCTATTTTGGACTTGTTTAATGGGTTGCAGATACATTCAATCAAGAAACAGTCTCAAATAGGACAAAATACATGTCCTGAATTCTACTGCTGGTCACTATCACCAACCGAGTAAAACAAACCCGTCAAATTTTCAGAACATATTGTAGGCAAAATACATCTACCATATGCTAGAATCACAAATTGACACTTAGCTTCGGTATCGTGTTACTTTTGTCTTCTGGATTGTTCTTCTTTGTTTTCCTTTTATGCTTTCTATATTGTTTCATAAGCATCGTTCATTAAATTCATCTCTGCACTATTCGATATTCTTGCAGATGATATAGGTATTTTTATCTGTATATATATACTACTTATAAATCTTGTCAGTAGGACATGTCACAATCTTATTTGTTTAATGGTGGTGGCTACTAGCAGTTAAGAATCCAAACCGTACGTATTCGTACCTATTAGGACTCACCTGGTGGGATGCCGTTGCATCCATTTGAGAAGTAATTCCGGAAAAGGTTTTAGTTTCACGTGTGATAATTCAGCTTTTGTTTTATTGTCATTATTATTATTATTCCCTTGGGTTCCAAGTGGTACATAGGGCTTCAACAACACAATTCCACTCTGTTACATTTTCTTCTGTCCTTTTCATCTGGTTGGGTCCATGATTGCTCGTAATCTCTCATCTCTACCTCCAACTCACACGATCTCCTCCATGTCACCCTCGCACTGGCGACCCACTCGTCACTTCCCATTGGGATTCCACTCGAGCAATGGCCTGCATTGTTCGCGATATCATTCGACAAACTCCTCAACGCATGCCCTATCCATTCATCTGCATTATCTCCTACGTATTTGTTGAGAAATCGGTTCTCGGTTGATTGATCTTTTCACAGCCAGAGTTTCTTCTTGCCAGTTTACGCCGTCTCTGGCGTAGACGTGATATTCAGCTGTCTATCGACCAAAGGGCGTGTGTAATGCTCAGCAGTCTGCTCCGTCCTCCATCATGGCTGGCTGTAACACATGATAGCCATTGAGTGTGGGAGATATGAAAAGGCTAGCTAGTTGCCTTTGATCGTAGGTGTCTGCGTTCTATCTCCTGTGTGAAGTGGTATGATAGGGTGAACAATATTGAGTTTCGGCGTCGAGTGCTAGGTATGTGGGGGGGGGAATCGATCGACGAGGCTGTGAAGCTACATCAGTTGAGAGAGATCAATAAGACATGTGTTACGGATGCCTGGTCATCGACAGCAGGCAGTGTTAGCTTATATACGATCTCAGGCTGGAAAAGAGCAAGTGGTTAGTGGTTAAACCAAAACATCGATTCATTAGTCAGTGACATCGACAACATTTAGTTTAAGCCATCCACGTAGGGAGGTGTAGACTTCCTAACTGATTGGTTGGGTTCCTCGGGACGGTAAAAACCATTGAAGGCTGGAGACAATTGGTGAAATGTCTCAAAATCGTTCTCATTAATGGCGCAGATGTATTCACTCTTTGTAATTTATAATTTCCAATAAAACTCTATGGTTCTTTGATATTGGTATTCTTTTTGCCTCACATTTCTGTTTACTGTCTCTATTTTGCGTTTCGTTTTACTTTCTTCTCTTGCTTTGTGTACTACATGAAGGGTTTGTGGCGACTTGAGCTGGTGCACATCGGTGCAAAGTTCTAAGTGTGTTGAAACCAGTCTGTTAGTTATCCCGTGTTAGCTAGTTAGTCCCTTATTCCATTATTCCTCTATACAATCTATGTTTGTCTAACTTATAACTCTTATTTATTTATGTCTGCATTGCTGTTTTTGTGATACTTTTCTTATTCCCCTTTAAAGGATGTCAGTTCATCATTCGGTTATAATCGATGTACTACTTCTATGGATGATTGTTGTCGTCATTTGCTAAAAGTTGCTGATGTTCTTGCCTATCTACCATATAAGATCTATTATCGTGCATTAGGTAAGATTCTTTTTTATTGATTTATTTTTACATGCATTCATTCAATTATTGACCGAATTGCACGCATGGTTTTTGTGATGGGTTCGAGTCTCAATGGGGTTACCATTACTCACTCACTGAGGATTGTAGGCACATCTATCCAAGTTGATGAGTCCCTAACAGGACGAGATGTTCTCTGTGGATCCAACTGCTGGCCAGTAACCACTGAATAACGTCAATGGTGTAATCTTCGGATATCGTCTAAGCGTCCGCACTAGGAGCTGACATGTCAGCTGGAGCCAAACATTCCAGCGCTAATAATTATATGTGTGTCCATGCCAGTCTGGAGGTGATGTGAAGGGATCTTACTAGGTTGAATTATAACATCATAGGACATAGTCGTGTCTGTGTCTTGCAGCAGAATCGTTTACTTGACAAAATGATGTCTCATACAGTGATGATCAAATACATTTGAAATTTCAATTTTAAAATGTTATTCGTGCTGTGCATGTTTTGTCGTCCTTTGTTCCTCTCATATTAGCCAACAAGCATTTCTTCATTTCTTTTATTCTTAACATAATCTATCGATACGCTATTCAAGATTCTTTCAAAAGTCATCACCCACAATGCACTACTTATAATCTCTTGTCAGTAGCGCACTATATATGCGTCTTTAATGACTTCAAGTTAACTAATTGGTTCATTCCCCTTAGGAGTGTGATTTCGTCCCACGTGTGTATCTGTGCGTGAAATTTCTATTACTGACAGCTTGAGGCTAGAGTCTTATTAACATACCTAAGTGTTTAGTTGCTAAGGCAGGAAACGATTGACAATCAGTTGAAAATGATTCGTTTTTGAAAGTACTAATAAAAGACCCTGTAACGACCCCGAGAGAGTCAGTAGTAGACTTCAGTCTTCCACTTGAAATGCTCTCATGTCTCCAGGTGTTCAGTGCCTCTGCCAGCCAGGTAAGTTCTATTTACTGCCTTCATGCTGTAGGGGGCTGGGTGTTCCTCATAAATGTGAAAGGGCGAAAGCGAAGTTCTGTCACCTACAACCTGACTGGTTAACATGCAAGTCTACTTACTGAGAGCAGCTGTAAAACCCTGATTTCAAACCTATGGATGTACATGGACTCCATCCAGAATCTGATAGGATCGAATCATGTATGAATCTGTTTTGGTTACCATCAACCATAGGAACGCTTCAAGTCAAAGTTTTGGGGAGAGGAGTGACCTCTTAAGTCAATCACCTGCTTGTGTCTAAGCATCCAGGAAATATGCCAGTCCGTGCATAAACTATGAGATTTTGTGTGGTTCATCCCTTGGTACTCATAATGTGACAAGTCTGCGTTTGAATAATAATGCCCGACCGATAGCTGCTACACTGATGTGGTGGTCGGGCTTGCATATCCAAATGTACCAACAAGTTACACTGGCTGAAGCTAATGTTTCTGCAGGTCATACCAAGCCAGAAAAACTGTTAGGATAGCAATTAGACTAAAAGCAGTTACCGCCTTAGTGCTAGATATTTTTTTCACACTATGCTGGGGGTCTGTTGGCGAAGTTGTACTGCTGAAGAACAGAGACGTAACAGTAGTAAGCTTTTTTCCCTCTGATGACCAGCATGCTAGTCAGCTATGCTGTTTCTCCACTCTGGAGAGCGGGATAGGCTAGAAAAGGTCGACCCCGAAAATTGTACGTCCCTACTTGCACTACGGTGGTCCGTAGCCAGCGTTAAGTTACTAGTACGGAACTAAACCGAAAAGCCAGTTCAGACAGGCCACGCCGTACCGCATCACGAAAGGCACTTCAAATAAACTACGGACTGTCATCAACAACTGTCTTCGCTCAATACTACTCAAGATCAGATGGCCAACTAGAAAACATCAGCGACCGGGTTTTCTGGCAATGAGTGAACCAAAGCAGCGGGAAGTGATTGTGCCACAAATATGCAGGAAGTAATGGATGGAGGTGGATTGGTGGCCATACTCTGAGAAAGCGAACCATAATCAAGTGGCATCACACGCGAGGCGACTGCTCGAGTGGAAGCCGCTGAGTGGGAAGCGGTGAGTCAGTTGGTCGTCTGAGGGTGACATGAAAGATATTATACGAGGGGGAAACGAAAGCATGTGGGCAGATGTGGGGCGAAGTGAAAACGTTGGCGGAGAACCTAACGCAATAGAGACGTGCGGCTGAAGCCCTATGTTTCTGTAGGAACTAAAGGAAACAAATAATAATAATAACAATAATCATAATAATTAAGCAACATAAACAATGCCTAAAGATAATTCTAAAATAAAACACAACAGATTTGATGATGGGAGATTGTAGGCATAAAATAAATCAGCGATTGCATAACACTTGATAATAAGCGAGGAACTTTGAAAGACAGAATAAATGGCACGTTTTGAATTACAAGGAAAAATAGATTTAAATGACTAATTTTCAGTTATTCTTGTTATTATTCTGATTGCCCTTTATAAATCTGAAGTTTTTTATATGATGAATGTGTATGTGAGTGGTACGCGTTAGTAGTATATTTCCGAGGGTAGAATCCTCGCTAACTAAATCGGAAAGACTGAGTTTATTTTCCGGCTGATGTACTGTTTAACCTCACCTAGGTAGGTTGTAGGTAGTAAGCCCGGAAATGATGCGAGTTGGGTGTGTGTTGGGTGGGTGAGGTAGGAGAACCTGTCACTCCTGTTAAAAAAAGAACAGCTTGAAACCTTGTTGTGTTCCACTTGGAATGCAAGGCGGTATATTATCAACATCAATGTTTTTCATTTCATATTGTAAGCAGACAGACAAATGCTGGTGTGTACCGGATTTTTCACCTATACAGATTTTATTTTCATATCACGTACAGATTTATGAAAAAAACCAGCAACAACAATAACAACAACTCCTGATGCCCTGACTACTTTCCATATAGCCATTGCCTTTCTTACTACAGATGTTTTAAAGATTAATATAAAAGTACATTAGCGGGCAAATCTGTTGTTTACGGTTTACAGCAAAAGTAAAGATGCATACGAATGATAATGGTAATGGTAATAATAATTTTGTTTTTAAGTGACTAGGCAAGGAGTTTAAATGTACAACATGTTACTGCCTATTCACGCCTACCTACACTCCGTTATAGTTTTTCGATTATTTTCTGCGTGACGTTCGGATGGGTGGTAGAATTTAGGGAGCGCGTTTCGTCCTATTTGTGATTTGTTAGCTGATTGTACCTCTTCATTCCCCCATTGTGTGTGTGTGTGTGTGTGATATATGGATCCTGCATCCGGTGTTTCAAACTCAAAAACGTCATATTACTCTGACAGTGGAATGATTGGCGTTGTGTTCGACTCTCAGTAGAGTAACACTATTATTCACTGGGGATATATAGGTGCACCTGTCTGATAAGTCTCAAGTGGGACGAAACGCACACCAATCGAGCAACATCACATTCATTTCATGGTATTATTGAAGCCAACTAGCCAACCGATACGTAGTTTAAGAAATAAAGGTGAACTGCTCTGTTTCGCCTTTTCCATGTGTATTTATTAGTTTAAGTGCCCGTGTGGAGCTAGTTACATTGGGCGTATGATCAGGCAAGTTCATCGTCGAATTTCTGAGCACTTCCCATCTTGGTTTTGCAGAGGTCAGAATAAAGCTTAGACACAGCTCAATACTAACTCATCTCTTCGATACCAGGCATCAATTTCACTCTAACAAAGCTTTAATGGTTATTAATCGTATTTCACCCGACCTCTCGCCTAGTCTACGAGTACGACTTTTAAATACAGCAGCAGAGGCAATCAGAATTCATCTGAACAAGCCAAATCTTTTTCAAAAGAAATATATCTACAGCCCCTTTCTTCGCTATAGTCAACTACTTAATATGTTTTTACGAGTTGATCACGGATTGATATCAGTTAGATAACCATTGAAAACCAGCATTGGAGTACTGGACAGCTGTTTCATCCTAGTCTGGGAATCATCGGCAGTACTCACCCACCGCCAGGGTTCGAACCCAGGACGTTTCGGTTACAAGGCAAGCTCGTATACCATTCAGCCACTGGGACCCGATTCAATGGCTCGTGAATTCTAACTTCTACCTATTCGTGATTTAGCGCGACCCCAACCATTGTCGTAGGTGGGACATCTTGTTAGAAGTAAGAATTCATGAGCCACTGAGTCGGGTCTCAGTAGCTGAATGGTATACGAGCTGGCTAGCCTTGTAACCGAAATGTCCTGGGTTCGAACCCCAGTTGGTACGTACTGCCGATGATTCCCAAACTAGGATGAAACAGCTGGCTGTCCAGTACTCCAGTGCTGGTTTTCAATGGTTCTCTAACTGATATCAATCCGTGTTCAACTCGTAAAAACAAAACTAACCCTTACAAACCAAACTATAGAAAAATACGCAATATGTATTAAGTATTTTAAAAACGGTTTTTTTCCCTCCCCTTGTAACTATCTTTTGACTTGGATATCTTGTTACTAACATCTATTAGCTAATTGATGTTTTGACGACTTTTAACCCCTTTAATTTCACCTACCCACCCCCGGTTATACCTAAATCTGATTGACTAAAATAACTACTTGGTTGGTAAACGAATATTGATGTAAAAGAAACTGTATATTAGTGAGTGTAATAGAGGCAGCCAGCCGATGATGAGGAACTGCTAATTGAAAGGGAATACATGTGTCTTCGCTGAATCTGTTGTTATCTGAAGCGTCAATCACAAGAACCAACCTGGCAACAGAGACGGTGTATTCTAGTGCAATAAAAATCAATAAAGGAGAGATTATAGATAGCAGCTACACAGACAAGGTATCTTACAGTCACTGATGCCAGATGATTATGAGTTGACAAATTATATTGCTAAAATAAATTTAGCCCACCAGTTATGCTGTCATAGTTATTTCACTCGTTGGTTTACGTGTTCAACTTTCAGTCATTGTGCCCCCCCCCACACACACGCTTACGTAACTGCCTCCAGTTTTATCTGAATCAAATGTTGATGAATA